GTTTTGCTTTGGTGAGATTTATAACTAACGTTTGATCAAATTCTGCTTTCCAGGCCAAATTTGGCTCCAAATAATGGCAAATAATGGCAAGTAAAGATGTATACTGACTAAGAACTAAGCAGAATACTTGATAAAATTCTAAGTCAACGATTACAAGTTGCATTGATTAAATCATTCTGAAATAACAGACAATCAAGAATCAAGACGGACGATAATATTGTTGATGTAAATTAGGGTGTGCAGTGTATAATGTGGACTGATAAATAGACACTAATTATGACCCCACAGCTCTATTCAAATACAAGAACCAGGAAATTCTTTCACCTTATCGCAGATACAGATTATACGATAAGGACTGTGATGTATAATCAACACTTAAACGGATGTTCTATACATTATACTGCATCTACAGTTTTAATGACTCTAAAAATATCTAATAGAAATAAAGTATTAGAATCACCTCACATCAATTGATTTGCAGGATGTAATTACGTATCAAACGCGCTCGCGGCGGAATATTCTAGACACATAAGTACAAGACCCATAGGCGGAAAACACATTAATATCGCATGCACTACGTATCAATAGAAAGCAAATTGGGCGCGGCATACAGCATTCACTGTGTCATAAATGTGGGAACGTGAGATCCTAATTTTACGTATTGTATCTTCGATATCTGAAATACTAACTTATCGAGAGCTATATATAGCTTGGACATTATAAACATAAATAAGTTCGACATGTCTAGTTTTGCTTTGGTGAGATTTATAACTAACGTTTGATCAAATTCTGCTTTCCCGGCCAAATTTGGCTCCAAAGAAAGTGTGATAAAACATTAATCACATGCCTTCTCATGCGATATCAACATTTTCAAAACTCGGCAAGCCTCGTGATTGAAAATGTCGATATAACCCTCGGCAAGCCTCGGGAAATATCGAAACTTTCGCTAACTCGGCAAGCCTCGTGGGCGAAAGTTTTGATATCGCATGAGAAGGCATGTGATAAATGTATAATATCGCTGCAAATATTAACCCTCCACAATGGTTGAAGTTATACCGTGCCATCGTTCACTTCTTATTATTGATACAATCTACAATCTACAATCTATAATATTTCTCAAGGCTATCCTTGAGTTCTTCGTCGGATTGACCTGTCAAGAACCAATTTTATCGTATCCGCAAGATAATATCTTACATAACATGTATTGTCATGTTGCGATTCATTACATCAAGCTTCAAATGCTATTTTTACCACCACGTCCAGCTGCAGGTAAAGGAATGGGTGTAGTCCTGCAGCTTGCCCGTGTGGTACTAATTGTACTTACATGTAAATGTACTGTGGTAATAAGGTACTAACAACTACATGTACATTATATGTATATTGTATAATGGTACTATGACCATTAACTCTGATCACCTGATCTATCATTGTACAATGGCATGGTGTATTATTGGTACGAGTTTTGTTGCTCTAATCCTCGACAGTGCATTGAGTTATTTAATATATACTACTACTTACTATGTACATGTTCATTGCTCATGAGTCGCTTTAGCTCTTTAGATGACTTAACTGAATCTTTAGATTTTGAGTTCTCTTTGGCTATAAAGCGATGTATAAATTTATAGTTATTATTAGTATTATTATATCGGGTCTCAATAAGAGGTCTCGACTGCCTAGGCATCAAACCTTGGCAATCGGTAATTTTCCTCTGGCCCGGAGTCAGCTGACCCTAGGGACCAGAGGATAAAGACGTAGAGACTGTGTGTATCTACAAAAGTGGTTGTTTTTACAAGAGACAGGGCTTGCAATGCAAGGGAAGAAAAACGGGAGAAACAAACACAAAATGCATATTAAATGACTTAGCAAATAGAAATTATTATTATTATTATAATAGTGCACGACGTACCTACGACATTAAATAATCTCGTAGGTACGTGCTTTAATAACATTGCTGGATCCTGTATCTGCCAACTTGTGCTGTACACACCACTACTTAGCTGCTCCTGGAACAATTTATAGTGTAGGTATGAAGTTTGCGCGGGAGTTGCTGTGAAGGGACATGTGAACAAGATAACATTGTTCTTGTTATTACGTGACCGAGGTGGGACACTGGGACACTGGGACAGGTGGTAGGTGTCCTACCTTAGTCACGTGATAGGTGGTACGGTTAAATCTAGATACAGTTCCACAGTTTAGTTATGGCACATTCCACAGTACAACTAGTTTGGAGTTTGGTTGTCTAGCTAAATAACTAAACCATGAGTACTCCAGTAACTTGATGCTTAATTTCATTGATCACTGGACTGGACTGGACTGAATGTTCTACCTCCTTTATTATCCATGTACCAGAATCTCACCGTATCGGAGAGGAGGCACATTAACAAGTCTGCTACTCTAGAACACAATGACACTGTAGTAGTGGGTCTTTAAGTAGTTCGCCACTAGTTCTTCAGTTCTGTAGTCGCTAGAACAATAACGGACACTCAGTTCCCCGTACCATGTAATGTTCTTCAGAACACGTGGTATGTTCTTCAGATCGAGTGTTTTGTATTGTTCAGAACACGGGTTATGTTCTTCAGATCAAGTGTTTTGTATTGTTCAGAACACGGGTTATGTTCTTCAGAACCCGTGTGTAGTGAGTAATGTTCATGTATCTGCACGCTCTACTGACTCTTGATATTAGCTGTCTGATCCATTCATTAATTACTGAGAGAGAAGCTTCAAATATTTGGCCCTTTTAATAAACGTTCACAACTTTCTTAGTTACAGGTACAACCACAACCTCTTACACGTGAGTGTGATATTGTGTGAGGGTCAAGTGTCAAGCTGGGTCTTACCTTAGATGATAAGTTACGTTTGTCATAGAGATGGAGACAGGCGCTGTCACGAAACTCGTTCAAGACTACATTTGGATCGATCTAGGCAATGAATATATTCAGACAGATATACTCCATACTCCATAGGCAATTCTGCCGAAAACATTTTGATACCAGCTGTACGAGGCTCCACTGTAAGACATATTAATATAATATAGATTCTACATAGTCCATAGTGATTGGTCTTATAAACTAAGCAGTAACAATACTAATAGCTCAGCCCCCGAACTAAGGCCCACGTACTGACAGTCCCGCACGTACTGACACATAGGTGCAGATTTCGTTTTGAGGTGAACTTTTAAGTTCCCGAGAAATTTTCTTAAGTTTGCTTTTTTTTTCCTCCTCGGGCACATTCGTAACCTACGGGCCAGGTAAACCTAAACTACATATTGACCGTTATGTACGTCGGTATCTGTTGAGGAGCCAAATCATCTGAAAAGCCCTTAACCTATATTTTGCTCAGGCACGTAGCCAGGATTTTTCTTTGGGGGGGGGGGGGGGCTGTCGGCGAGCGAAGCTGCAAGCTGTGGCAGGGGTCTGGGGGCGCGCTCCCAGCGGGGTCCAGGTAAGGGGCGGACCACATTGGCGGGGGCTAGGGGGGCGCAGCCCCCCGGAAAAATTTTGCGAAATAGGGTGTTTTAGGCTAAATTGATAGTTTAATGAATTTACAAAAATGTATGGTTTGGCATAATCATTGCTATGCCTACAATCCTGACCTGAGTAATTTACCCCTTTGAGACTTTATTTTGGGTTGAAAATTAAGTTTATCGAGAGGAAGTGAAAAATCTCTGGTTCAAATTTGGATTTGAAGCCATGTTTAATTTTTTCTGTTGAGGTCAATTTTTTGCGCAGAAAGCGTTCGATTTTAGGGGAAAAAATTTATGTTTGCTTTTAATTTTTATGGTGCCGACGGCACCTGAAATCGACGAAATCTGCAGGGGTGTACTGACAGTCCCGCACGTACAGACAGTCCCGCACGTACAGACAGTCCCGCACGTACAGACAGTCCCGCACGTACAGACAGTCCCGCACGTACAGACAGTCCCGCACGTACAGACAGTCCCGCACGTACAGACAGTCCCGCACGTACAGACAGTCCCGCACGTACAGACAGTCCCGCACGTACAGACAGTCCCGCACGTACAGACAGTCCCGCACGTACAGACAGTCCCGCACGTACAGACAGTCCCGCACGTACAGACAGTCCCGCACGTACAGACAGTCCCGCACGTACAGACAGTCCCGCACGTACAGACAGTCCCGCACGTACAGACAGTCCCGCACGTACAGACAGTCCCGCACGTACAGACAGTCCCGCACGTACAGACAGTCCCGCACGTACAGACAGTCCCGCACGTACAGACAGTCCCGCACGTACAGACAGTCCCGCACGTACAGACAGTCCCGCACGTACAGACAGTCCCGCACGTACAGACAGTCCCGCACGTACAGACAGTCCCGCACGTACAGAGAGTCAGGACGGGGGTAGATCCGTATCTTGCTTCTCTGAGCATCTTCTCAAGCTCGGTGTTAGAGGGTGTAATTTGTCACAATGAATTAGGATTCTCTACCGTGTGTTCGGTATAACAACTCTTGTAGTCCAGGTTTAACAACTTCTACAGAACTTACTGAATACCAGATGTACTGTAGACATAACATAATCATGGTACTCCATAATGCTGGATACTGGTCCCATAAAATATGAACTGAACAGAATATACAACCCCTGATCTCAGTCCACACGTATGTCGTATAGTTACACAGAACCTCAGTGGATCCGGGCCTAAGTTTCATCGCACGTTTTGACCATATTGTTGATTAATTCAACGACTGTATGATGGAAAGTAAGGGATGTTAAAGTTGTTTGATTAATTGTACAACACACATTGTACGAGGTAGTCCTGTACAGGTGACCTGCTTTGTCCGACCTCTGGTTAGCAGTGTAAATGGAGTGCTGTGTTTACTGTACAATATAAAAAGGTGGTGGGTATGCGTACAGCTGTGAGGTGTGGCGAGCCCCCCTCAGGTTACATCCGGTCAGCATATATTCGTTACTTTAGTAGGTGCACTACAATAATGAATAAGATCATCTTTGTGTCTTTAATACTTTCAACACTGCTATGTTATAACAAATAATTTGAGAACATGGATATGATGTTGTTACATTGAAACGTTGAACATTTTCCTGGAAAGAGCAGTTTCCCTTTCGCATTATATTATACGGAAATATCAAACATTTTGAACTCTAGAAACATTATTATATATCAGTGAACAATATCATGATCATCTTAAGATTGAAAGAACTGAACTGTGGTAATTATAAAATTTAACCCTACTAATTATGATGATGAATGGATGGAATGTATTTACCATTCTTATGTGTTGTTAGATGGCTATGAGCCAGCTATTATCCAGCTATTATCCAACCTATTTGCCATTGTAATCTATTAAGATGACCTGTTAAAAGCTTTTACCAAGTCAGAAAACTCCCATTCATTGCTCATCACGTCATGATATATTTGAAAGCATCTGTCTCAACCTTCTCGTTATATGTTTCAACAAACCTGCATTATCCCCGCTTGCAACTGCCTATTTTAATAGTTGACTTGTTTTGTGTTGTTGCGTCATTATCATTAAAGAGGTTGTATGTCATGACGTCATCACGTCATCACCATCTTATACACACACACACTAAAGCTATTTAGCTATATAAGACATCATGAGCAGTTACCATTGTCAAGCTTACTATCCATTACATTATTCATTTGTGGAGCTTTAGAGAAAACAAAGTGATGATTGTGGACGTGAACTAATTATTCATTTTATAACCCCCCAATCTCAGACTGTTACAATTCTCATTATAAACGTGACTTCCCCAAGACAGTATAACTAATTGGAACGGAGCTGGAGCTTTTAATTTACTGCTCTCCGTGCTAAAACTGTTGTATTGGATGTCTGCGTTATATTGGTGGTGACTTCCTCAAAAACCTCCCCCTGACATTTAAATTACAAGCTGATCTGATCTGTCTGTTTGCTGTTCGCTGATTAAGTTGGAGGATCAGGAGACTTTTAGATTCAATAACTTGTTGCTTTCTGTTGCTAGCTTCGTCCTTTATTTGTCTTTCTCGCCTTGACAGATACTCAAATACATCAAGTATGGCCCGAATTAACGTTTAAATATGGCAGCATACTAAATAGCTTACAGTTTACAAGGAAGGTGGCCAAATATATTGTGATTGGCCAGGCCTACCGTTCGAACGGTATCAAGAGTCAAACTATTAAAGTGTTTAATGAACGCGTTCATAAAACTATTGAAACAGACAGTTAAGTGAGCATCATAACTGGGAAGTTATATTACAGCTTACATAGCCCAAAATATATAGCTACAAATATATAGTTACAAAAGTATTTATATTATGTGCGAACTATGTATAATTCCTAAGGGAATACCCCGTTGATATATCTCATCAACACTTTAATTGAGTGTAGTTTCTGGTACCTTAGCTTAGTATAATAGTATAATAGTTATTGCAATACTATAAAGTAAGTGATCTATCATCTTTTATAGAATAATGTAAAATAGTTTTTGGAGATCTCTTTAATTTAGAACCCTAATATATGCGTATATATAATAAACTTAAATCACTTACTTTTAAAACTTATATCAGTTAATCAATAAACACTTTACGGCTAAAAATAGTAACAATTCCGCTAACAAACATTTTGAATGATGGGCTTATTTAATTCTGAATACCTGATACGGCGGTCTGAAAACAATGAGCTGCCTCTCCACGTTAACCGTGCAACAAGTTAGTTAACATTCCATGTTGCATGTGACCACACGTGGTTTCTTCACAATAACTTATAACTTGTGATAATAGTAATCACTACTTGTATCAGTGACGGTATATTATCTAATCGTGATCTTCACTGATTCTGGCACGAAATAATAATTATTGTTGGCTGAATGGCTGCTGCTGATGGAGAGTAGCTTTTGCTTTTGAGTTCTGGTACATATTATTATTTTCTGGTGTCAAGTTGAACTTTGAGAATGAGGATCCTATCACAAACAGTTCTTGTAGATAGCCATCTCACCGAGCCACATTTTCCTGTACAATAATTAGAAGGGTAGGGTTGTAAAGGTGGGAGTAATGGGGAGGGTGAGAGTGGGCGGGAAGTAAGTGAGAGGGCGACATTACTTGGAGCGGCTGAGTTATTTTGGGGTGTTCTCTAGGGAGTGCTAAATGGTCACAGCTTGTCCTGCTATCATCTTATTATACCAGTGCACTCTCTCTCTCTCTCTCTCTCTCTCTCTCTCTCTCTCTCTCTCTCTCTCTCTCTCTCTCTCTCTCTCTCTCTCTCTCTCTCTCTCTCTCTCTCTCTCTCTCTCTCTCTCTCTCTCTCTCTCTCTCTCTCTCTCTCTCTCTCTCTCTCTCTCTCTCTCTCTCTCTATATATATATATATATATATATATCTCTATCTCTACCCGCTCAATTAGCAATATGCCAACAAACCGGGTGCTATAACACTGTAACCTACTGAAATAGCTGAATATTTTACAAATGAAGAGTGCGCCGTTTTTAATACCTCCCAGCACTATGATGTAATGGGAAGTAGCTGTCAGCTTAATGATCCTTTCAGTACAGATTGTGCAGTATATGTGCAACTGTTTCGCTGTAAATTATAATATGATTGCATGCTTTTGATAGTCAGATTTACATAACCACCTTGCTATACACCACTAAACTACGACTACTGTCTACTTGATGATTCAACTTACAAGCCGCCAGTTAAATACCGTACAAGGTAAGTAGCCTGCCCAATATTAGTGCCCACTCACTGGACCCACCCAGCCTGCTCTCTAGGTACTACAAGGTAAGTAGCCTGCCCAATATTAGTGCCCACTCACTGGACCCACCCAGGCTGCTCTCTAGGTACTACCCATTACTGTACTATTAGAGGTATTAACCTGCATGTAATATCTGGGGAGCAACTATTTAATACAATCTAGTGACCACTATTGAAACCCTGCAAGTAGTGTCGTCTGTGCGGTTTATAAGTGGAGAGAAGGAGGGGATTGGAGGGGTGGTGGATCTGGTACGGCTTAAATTGGAGGATGTAACAATCCTTCAGGACAATCTGCAGAGTAACAATACAGAGTCCAGATCAAGGGGTAATATTAATCTCACTATTTGTAGAAGTTCAACCCTTGAAATTTCTTATAATTCCATCTTTAAACTTTTCCTGACGAAATGGCAAAACTACATCCAATTCATCTCGTCACAAAACTGTTAAAGTTTTAATAAGCTATTGGACTGATGGTCACGACTTGGTGAGCCAGTTGCTATCTCTTCCTCATAAGTCATTTCATATTATGTTTATTTAATATGCAGCAGTCAATATTATTCATTTCTCACTTTTATTGCAAGTCGATATTATAAGATGGTTTCTGTAACGTTCACCTCAAGTGTGATTTGTGATGTGTGATGTGTGATGTGTGATGTGTGAGTGTCAGCAGTTCTTGCTGGGTCAATCAAAACGCAAAAATATCTAATCTATTTATCAAAGCCAGACAATCTGTACGGTGATGAACTAGTTTCCATTCATTTCTTGTATAAGCAGGGTGACCTCATATATTATATATATTTTATGCGAGCTACGAGCTCTGTAAATGATCCTTATTTTACCCCAGAGAGCGCTGGAACCATCTCCCAGCCTCTCCCACGGCTACAAGTTTAAGTTTATAACCGCTATTATGACAGCAGTGACTGCTTCTCAGGAAGCAGCTCTGTCAAAAAAGGTCATGTTGAGTTAATAACTTAGACTGCAACCATTTAGTTGTGGTCAAATTATTGGTACAGATCGGGGTTTTTACCATCGTTGACTGTCACTCTGCCAAATCGATTTTATGGCGCGTCAATAATTTCTAAATCGAGGTACTGAAGTATATTAAGATTAAAGATTGTGTAATATAAGCATTTTATGTAATATGTAAATTGTAATATGATTTATGATTATCCATAATATCCCTTAGAATATCCCTAATATCCCTTGGAATATCCCTAATATCCCTTGGAATATCCCTAATGTCCCTTAGAATATCCCTAATATCTCTTACCTTGGAATATCCCTAATATCCCTTAGAATATCCCTAATATCTCTTACCTTGGAATATCCCTAATATCCCTTCGAATATCCCTAATATCTCTTACCTTGGAATATCCCTAATATCCCTTGGAATATCCCTAATATCCCTTGGAATATCCCTAATATCCCTTGGAATATCCCTAATATCCCTTGGAATATCCCTAATATCCCTTAGAATATCCCTAATATCCCTTGGAATATCCCTAATATCCCTTACCTTGGAATATCCCTAATATTCCTTGGAATATCCCTAATATCCCTTGGAATATCCCTTGGAATATCCCTAATATCCCTTGGAATATCCCTAATATCCCTTGGAATATCCCTAATATCCCTTAGAATATCCCTAATATCTCTTACCTTGGAATATCCCTAATATCCCTTAGAATATCCCTAATATCTCTTACCTTGGAATATCCCTAATATCCCTTAGAATATCCCTAATATCTCTTACCTTGGAATATCCCTAATATCCCTTCGAATATCCCTAATATCTCTTACCTTGGAATATCCCTAATATCCCTTGGAATATCCCTAATATCCCTTGGAATATCCCTAATATCCCTTGGAATATCCCTAATATCCCTTGGAATATCCCTTGGAATATCCCTAATATCCCTTGGAATATCCCTAATATCTCTTACCTTGGAATATCCCTAATATCCCTTAGAATATCCCTAATATCTCTTACCTTGGAATATCCCTAATATCCCTTAGAATATCCCTAATATCTCTTACCTTGGAATATCCCTAATATCCCTTAGAATATCCCTAATATCTCTTACCTTGGAATATCCCTAATATCCCTTCGAATATCCCTAATATCTCTTACCTTGGAATATCCCTAATATCCCTTGGAATATCCCTAATATCCCTTGGAATATCCCTAATATCCCTTGGAATATCCCTAATATCCCTTGGAATATCCCTAATATCCCTTAGAATATCCCTTAGACTATCCCTAATATCCCTCCGAATATCCCTAATATCTCTTACCTTGGAATATCCCTAATATCCCTTGGAATATCCCTAATATCCCTTGGAATATCCCTAATATCCCTTAGAATATCCCTAATATCCCTTGGAATATCCCTAATATCCCTTGGAATATCCCTAATATCCCTTAGAATATCCCTAATATCCCTTGGAATATCCCTAATATCCCTTGGAATATCCCTAATATCCCTTGGAATATCCCTAATATCCCTTGGAATATCCCTAATATCCCTTGGAATATCCCTAATATCCCTTGGAATATCCCTAATATCTGTACCCTCTCCTAGTGTGGTAATGGTTGCTGGCACGCTACTCAGCCGATAGGAAGACTTACACAAAGTGATCATGTCCTCATTGATCTCCACTATCTTCTACCCATAGCAGGTTAGTTTCTCCTTTGGGAGGACGATTAAATATTAAAGCTCCTATAACCTGTCTTATGATACGTTAACGTTAAGAGACTTTCGCGAAAGAGCTTAGTGATTATATACTTGCAGTTATGGACAACCGTCTTGATTAAAGTTGTAGAAGAGCCCAGTTCAAAAATTGAGTTTCCATGGGAATCTGCGTGGGTACCATGATTGCGTTTAAAGTATAACTGTAGTTAAGTTGGGGAGTCTCTGCAACCCAACCTTGCTTTAAGTATGGGGGTGTTGCTTCAAATGCAATACGCCCACACTTCTTTAAATTTCCCTGACATTAATCAAGATTCAAGATTGACTCGCCTCTTTGCCAGAAATAAAAATAGCATTAACAATTACTTGAGGCTCCCTGCCACCATATTATTATTATATTTCAAGACGGCTATTTTAAAACTGCTATTTCAAAACTTCTTGCAGTTGCTGATGAAGATAAACCAAGTTGTAAACTCGTAATATATTTCCAGATGTTTCTAAGGAGGAACTGGCGCTGTTGGAACAAAAGATGAATGTTTTGAACAAGGTTCAAGAAGATGAGGTGAGCTTCACAATATCTTATCTAACTAGTTAAATCATTCTAGAAATGCTTATTCGCAACACACTGACATTTGGAGCCATTTTCATTTATATTTTATGTATATTTTAGGTTTCTAATGGCTTGGTTGGAGGTTTTTGTCTGTAAAATAATTTTAACAATCGGAAAATTGTTTATAAGCTGACTTGGCTATCCGCCGATTAATGAAGGGTTTATGAGAAGAAATAATGTTTATTGCGATAATCAAGAGATAAGGTCTCAATTACGTATTATATGTGATATTTCAAATATTTGACAAAATATTTTGTCGCCCCGCCTAGCTCGGGCGTGTCTATATCTTATAGATTCTACGGAATATAAAGTAAAGATATCTCATGTTGCATAACTTTAGTTCCCTTATAAAAGTTGATCATGAGATAGATTCCTTACTTTTTCTTTCTTGTTGGGATATTATCTTCGTTAATTTGCCGTACAATCCTCGCGTCGTTTGTCAAAAGGGAATTATTATTAAAGTTTCGCTTTTGTTTCAAAACGAGTCGTCTGCAATGTTATTGAAATGCCAATCTGGTTGCGTATTTACTCCATGTTATTGGTATAGAGCAAAAAAGCCAAATTGTGAGATGAGCAGATATCTGGGGTTGTAAAATGAAATGTTTCGTCATACCCCTCCTGTTTACTTATCCTACCCACAGCAATGGTATCCATTTTTCGTAATACTCATTTAAGATTTGTTTCTTATTTTGACTTATTTTCTGTTGGTTGAAGCTGTAAACACAAGATAATATTGTAATTTTGCAATCATGGTCTTCTTGAACAAGATGGTAAGTAAGCTTTCGTCTTTCCTCTATTGGTCAAAGCTTATTTTTCATATAATGAAGTTAACCTAAGTTTTAAGTAAATCCACTAACTTCGTGAAGAAATCATCTTTAGAAGTGTGATTTAAGGTCAGGTAACATAAATAAAATAATATATTGTAAAAAAGCCAACTATTTTCGAAATGATTTGGGCTACGTACGAAACGAAACGAAACACTGTATTTACTTTTATTGAGCTGAAGACAATTTACACATGTATTTTGAAAGCTCCTGTTAAAACAGACTTTTCGTATCACTTATACATGTTTTAAATAATGCCCCTCCAGACTGTATTTACTACCCCGCTAGTTGTGCTCTCATTCAGCTTCATGAAGTTATCCATACCTTGATATCAGCGAGACAGTCATTGATCTTATTAGTGACATTATGTAGCTCCATTGGTCTCATTGGGTGGAAGGCTATATAAAGTTGCGAGTAATCTGCATTCTGCATAAAGACCATACTTCCTAGCTATATCCTGAAGCAGCTTAATGTATTTAAAGATGAACAAGATAGGTCCGAATAGAGAACCCTGGGAAACCCCAAACATCAGACACAAGAAGTTAGATAATGAGTCTACCTTAACCTTGAAAAACCTGCCAGAGAGGTATGAACTAAACCATTTCAAGTCCTTAATACCAGTAGGACGCTCCCCAAGTGGAGGGTCGCCACCTCTATATGACGGTGGTCAGTGGGTGTCGCGACAACAAAAAAAAAGAAGGAAACAAAAGTCCTTAAACCAAAATCTTTTGCCAGCTTCTTAAGAAGTGAAACTGCAGCAATAGTTCCTCATAAGACTATAGTCATCATCCCATTTAATGTCATTCTATCTGTTTGAGGCTAGAATAATTTTGTAATTCGTAAGGATCAATTTCTAATAGAATATGAATCTTATGAAACAAGGATTACTTTTATGGCGCAATCAATAAATACAACATTGTGACAATCAGTTTTAAGACTTCATACTCTGAAAAGCCTACATAATTGTATATTTAACTGGCATTATGATTTGTGATTCGTAAATTCAATTAGTTATGGATTTAACTAAACTAAAAATGGAGTTGACCGCACTCCAGGACCATCAGCCAGATCAGATCCGCGGCAGTGGGACCCCTAGTTCTGTTAGACCCCGTCACTCGACATGATCTAGCAGAGCTATAAGGCTGGCACGAAGAGCATGTAGTTTCCTACTTTGCTCCCCCACTGTGGCACAAGCACGACGTGTTGCTTGCCCGACTAACTAAAATGACTTTAACATCCTTGTGGTGGTTGCTAAAGTCTTTAAAATGGTGTGCTAAAATCCGATTTTTTGTTGTAAAATCAGAGTCTTAGTATTAAAATCCGATGTGTGGCTGTAAAATCACATCTGTAGTAGTTCCGTCTTCCATCTTCCAATCTTTTCGTTTCCGTGAAGGGGTTTCCAATATTTCATGTCCGTCGGTAGTGATCATGATGTGTCTTTCACTCAGTGATGGGGATGACAACATCAGATGAGAGGGCTGGTCGTACCAGCAGCGGTGGGAGGGTGTTGACTCTGCTCATGTCTGCCTGGAGAGCAACATCATGTTTTCCTATTTCCAAAACGGTGTCCGTCTGCAGTCCTCGTTCCGATGTTCGGTGTGCTATCTTTTGAGTTTTAGCGAAAACTGTCTTTAGTTTCCGATTTATCAGCATTTCGAACTCTTTGAACGTTCGCTCATTTACGATGTCTAATTCTCGGACTTTGTTGATCGTAAATGTGAGCCTGCTACAAGCCAAACGGCTGTCCGCTCTCATGGCCCTCACATAATATATGAACAGGCCCAAAAGAGCACTCCCTAGCATCAGTATGAAGATCGCGATGATCAGGAGGGTCGAGTCTTCAATATCTTTCATTTCTTGAAACTGTGAATTTTCTCAATCAAAGGATCGAGCAGATTACAACGTAAGGTGAGAGTTACAAGCGAATCTGTGCAGACCATTTGTTGCTAGGATATTTATAGCAGCCCACGTGCAGTGTCTCAATTTTTGACACATTTCCAATTTGTGACATTTCGTTGGATCTGCACATGTAGTTTGCGGAGGGAATCGACCGCCTTCTTTGAAAAGTATCTTTGTAGAATTCATATAAAACAAATCGCCAATCGGTCGAATCGGTGCAGTGTGGCTAGGCTGTCATGTGTTTTGGTATTTGTATTAGAATCTCAATTTCATATTCATTACGTAGCGGGCGAAATATATTTTGTCGCACAAATGGCATTGTGGTAACTTGGCAGAGTAACAGTAAGCGCTGCGCGCGCACGCTCGACTCAATTGAATTGAATAATGGATAATCATAATTGAATATGACTTAAGTATATATTTATTTAGCTTTATCATCATGTCAACAATAAGAATTTTAATTGAATGGAATTCATATTAGTTAACTTATAGTCTTATAACCATTGTTAGTTAGCTTAGTCCATAACATGACAAAAAACTGGTCATCATTCTGCATTCATCAACTCATCACTTTATTAATGATGCAAGTACTCTTCAATATTGAGACCCTTCTTGTACGTTATTTTTATCATGGACATCATAGGGGCTACGATCACTCTCAAATTAGATATGAGCATGTTAAATAAGTTGTGGATTTGCTGACCGTTATTGAATTGGTTCTATGATTATATAAATAGCTTCTTCGATTATGCTGCATGGCCGCTGCCTCTCATTTAATATTCGCATTGATTTGGAGCATGGGCCTCTGAACCTTAACACATGTGCAGTGTCCGGTATATTATGTTTACTGCTGTTAAGCTTCAGAGAGCCATCCTTCAAATTAATGCGATTATTACTGTCATGATTATCCATAAATGTATGTTCGAAAGGTTCGCATGGTCTTTTGAGAATTATGACAACTCAATCAGGTTCACATATTCCAGTAGGTCACTGGTAATTGTCATGTTCTAATGTCCTGGCTGATGGTTAATTGTAAGGAATCTTCTAAGTTCTCTTAGCCGAATCAACAAATTACAAAGATTATTTTCTTCGGTGACGGTCATTAAGTCAAAAAAAGAGGAAACCGTTTAATTACAAATATAATTTCAATATTTCTAAAAAGTCCATATAAATACAAGCTTTGCGTTTTTCACTTTTGTAGGCAAAACCTTGTATAATGTAGTTACCCAGTTAAAATCAAGCTAATTGGTCGACGGAAACAAAAGTCAGCATATAATGAAGAGGATAGCTTCTAGATTAAAATTTATAATTGTCATTATTTCATTTTTTTCATTCTTGACCCTCGGGTCTCTTTAAAATAGCCACAAGATCCGGTAAAATGTCTCCTTACTTCACAGCACTCGTTACATTGTAACGTGGCCTTTCATTTCCTTCTTTTTGTTGAACAATTTCGCCAAAAGCATAACAGTTGCTTTGTTGTCTAATTTGTTATTAAATAGCAAAGCTCCGGTTGTTGCAAATATAATGTCCGACGTCCATGTCATCTTCTTTCTTAATGTGTATGATGGATTTTGAGACGTGCTTTTTGGATCTCTGTTGTTGCTGCTCCATGAGATCAAATAGCATTTGGAAATACTATAAACAGGTTACAAAAACGTTAATACCCCAACAAATTGACGAATATTATATACAGATATAGATATTATCACAGTCCCGCCGTTTCAGTGGAGGTTTGAAAACACATCAGTGAGGTGATATGAACGTTGTGTCTTCGTAAAGTGTGTGTGTTATGGATTTTTTGTGATACTCTTCTTAGGGGCATTTTAACTTTTTGTGTCTTCTTACAATTGCAACTTGGAATGTTAATACCTAAATACAAATATCTTCAGTGAAGCATACTTTTCTGATACCTAGCAACTGCATTTTGACATAATGATATTGATATTGAACAAAGAATAGTTTAAATATAAATAGCATGAGCATTGATCAATGAGCATCGAGCATCTCATATTTTGTATTTTTTGTACATCGGATCATTTTGATCATATTTTTTATCTGACGACATTTTTCTCTCCAGATGACCACGTTAAAGGCTCAGAGTCAGAAGAATTTCCAGGATATTAAGGGGAGCAATATCTCACGCAGTAAACCAGGAAATGGAACTCACAGACGTGAGTTGTTCTGAAGTTGTTTTTTTTAATACCTAGCTTATTTTACAAATATTTAGGGAGCAAAATCTTGTTCGGTTTTCAGTGTTTACCCAGAATTTCTGTTTCAGCCCCACAGTGCGAACGAAATGATAGTTTCATGACGATAGATAGTTGCTCAGACTTTAGGGATGCTGTAACTAATGAATCAGGTAAACATATATTTATATTTATTTATTTACTTTGATTATGTAAATATTCATTTGTATTCTAGTAGAACGCATTCAATTCGAAAGAAATATTTAAGGATTTTAAAGGATTGCTTGTTGGAGGTACTGACATAGTGATGGTAGAAGATGAGTGATCGATTTAAATTTAATAAAACCTATTATCGAAATGTTTCATTTTCAACTTGAATTCAGTTAAAATGTGTTATAAAGTGAATATGTTCTAAATTGGTTTAAAGACATGCTTATTCAATTTGTCACAATATGATTTGGAGAAGCTCTATTCTTAGGAGATATTTAATATTAATAAGAGTTTCAGTTCAGTTTTGATAGATAAAACTGGTAGCTTTTATTTTCTCGGTCTTACATTTTATCAAACTATCAGTATCTTACATTTTAATTTGATCTTATTGTGTTATTTATATAATAGTTCTTTTCGCACTAGGTACTGAGTATAAGTTTCACTTAATAGTAGTGTTGCAAACACCATTTATTTTAATTATTTTTGCTTTTTATCCTTAAATCTTTAGTGATGCATAATTAATCCGCACATTAATTATGTGTCACTTAAGATTTGAAATTTGTATTCCTTATAATATTCTTTGTATTCCTTAATGTTTGCTCACTTAATTTGTGTGATTTTTACGAAAATCGTACAATTAAGTGTCGCACAAATTTCATGTAATAAGGTATATTGTGTTTCACAACTATACAAGAACAAGTTCACGATGACGGAAAAGGATGTTAATCAAAGTTTGTCGGATTACTCGATCTTTTTTACTGAAGCGCAGGAAGAATTTAATAGTTGGATCTCGGAAGTCGCGAAAGCCTTGATCTGTGAAGATTCGGCAGAATTTTCAGTTGAAATGTTTGAAAAGTTAACCAAGGAAGAAATTTCAAAGTTGGTGTTTAGTGCTTACCAAGATATCAGCATCTTTTTAAAAGAAACTGATAATATGATGAGGCATGTGGAGGAGTTGAAGCTCTGTCTTATTCAGTCGCAAAATTCGGTTGTCAAGCTGCAGGGGGAACTTATTGAAGCCAAATCGGAGCAGATGGAATCTGACGTTCAGAACACTGTAAACGCTGAGAATATGCTGATCTTTGATTTGAAGGAGACTGGTGTCGAAAATCTGTGTGATAAAGTAGACGAACTGTTCCAACAGATTGAAATGAAACCACGCTTTGAAGGTGTCCGGTTTGAGAAGAAATCAGCCGACAGAACGAGACTTATCAAAATTTCGTTTGGTAATTCAAATACTGTTTATCAGATATTAGAAAAAAATAACAAATTATCTCTGACATGTAATGGACACCGTTTTGTTTAGAATTTAGATCTTTAACTAGCCAAATTTAAACAGAAACAGATCTTTAACTAGAAACTTATTATGAGCGGGGTGATAAACACTGTGTCTCTCTTTCATAAACACGTGACATTAACACGTGACATTAACACGTGACCCACCACAGGTTCTCAGAACGGAGACATGGACATGATGTCGGTGAGCATGTCACACTTGTCCCAACACAGCAGCATGTCCCAGACCAGTGCTGACGGAGTCTACTCAGCTAACTCTCAACCAATGCACCCTCGTATCTCCAATCTTATTCAGGACGGCTCGGGAAACCATGTCCAACAGGATAATACAGAGTGAGCTGCGTTTATATTTTCCTTTTAATCGTTTGAACACTCATTAGCCCTTGTAGTTTACCTCGTGCCTATTATATGTGCCTAATCACCAATGTTGCTCCAAAAATCAGCTCCAACCGATTTATTATCCGTTTTATGTTTCAACCCATTAAATATCTTTAAAAACTGTAACTTAAATACACCGTGTATTTTAGTTACAGTTGGTATATTTTTGCTCTAACTATTCCGTTCTCCTAGTAATAACACGTCTCGGAGCACGTCCCAATTCTCCCTCATGTCTGATGAGCACGAGGCAGAGGCTGAGGAGGTCTCCAAGGAGGCCCTGATGTGGATGAGTGCAGTTCAGAGGATCCGGAAGAATATTTACATGAGGAACATTGACAAACCAGCAAAGGTAGGAACATTGACAAACCACCAAAGGTTAGGAACATTGACAAACCACCATGCCAAAGGTTAGGAACATTGACAAACCACCAAAGGTTAGGAACATTGACAAACCACCAAAGGTTAGGAACATTGACAAACCACCAAAGGTTAGGAACATTGAAAAACCACCAAAGGTTAGGAACATTGACAAACCACCAAAGGTTAGGAACATTGACAAACCACCGAAGGTTCCTGTTTCATAATTGTTCATCTTTAAAACTCTGCTGTTTTCTCTCTGCTTTTGTTGTGCAGTGTAACATGAATGTTTTTTTACAAAAATTGTTCATCCCGAAATTATAAAAGATGTTATGGGCGGGATGTTCACACTAATATTCGTGTCCTAGGAGGGAGAAGAAGAGGAAGAAGGAGAAGACGGGGAAACTAAAAGAGAATCTAACGAAGTGAAAGAGAACGGAGTGTACCCGCCGACTGAGGGGGAAGGAGGAAGTCTGCCACGTCACGAAAATAATAGTACGGTTAACAGTGATAACAGCAGTGATATGTTCGACTCTGAGAAAGTGAAGAGTACCGCTGCCAGGTCTGTGAGATTTGTAGTTTAAATATCTCTTAAATCTCTTACGATCTCTGTAATAATACTTCGTTGTTGTTTTCCATTATATACTTCTATTGACGTATTCCGACCGATGTGACTGTTCCAGGAAATTTAGTTCTTCAGAAAGAGGCGCTGTTGAATTTTGTTTGTACGTCAGAAGCTCTTTTGTGCGAATTTATACCGCCACGTCTTTGCTTCTGATGTTTTGAGATTTACTCCTTTCTGTTGCAATCTGGAATTTTAACTTGATAACTTTGCAGAATGTGGGACACAGTAAACAGTACGACTACTAAAATGCAGATGTACAGCAAGCCCCGAAGTACTGACTCTAACCCCGAGTTTAAGCTAGGAGACAGTTTCTTTGACATCGCCAACTACGGGACTCTCAAGGTACACGTGTTCAGAAAGACTATCCAAGCTCTTATCTACCCCATCTCGTTAACTGAACCTCACAAGTTCCACTCCTGGTTGGTAATTTGATTCTTTTGTTTGTTGTACTTGCTGGAGAATATAAGATTGGATTAAGCTTTCTCATGAATCATAGTAGACTTTAAAAGAAGAAACTGTTTGTTATCATTCAACAATATATACCACGGTACAGGTCGACTTTGTCGCCAGCATTCTGTTCTGAGTGCGAGGGATTGCTGTGGGGGATCACGAAACAGGGTATGAAGTGTTCCTCCTGTGGGGTGAAGTGTCATCAGAAGTGTCAGGAACTCCTTAATGCTGACTGTCTTCAGGTAACCAATCTGAAAACTGAAATATAAGTTAATGTAGTTCTCTTTCAATTTCGATTTAATCGTTAACGATATTCTCAATGACAAGAAACTAGCAGATGCTCGATGATTCTTGATAATATTTGATAATTAAAGTCGTTTTGTTCAGCGAGCCCACCAGAAGACTCTGCGAGGAGAGAACGAGGACACTGCCCAACACGAATACATCATGAGGGCGATAGAGTGAGTAGTTCATCGAGTATTATATCACCTTTAAAGGGATCGCGGAAAACTTTTTTAAAGTCGATAATTGAAATTTTTAAGATTATTTAGTACAAAAGAGCGAAAACAGATTATTACAATACCTGTAACTTTAAAATTCTCAATTTGTATATACAAGCCTTGTTCTTCTTCAGGCAAAGGATGAAGGTGACAGAGAACGCGTCTAAGGACACGTTTGAATTGCTAAGACTAGCTTTCGCTGAGGAAAGTGAGAAGCTGGACCAAGTGAAGAAGGAGGTGAAACATTCTATTCTAACCGGGTCTAGCAAGTGGAGCGCTAAAATTGACATTGAAGTGGTCGAGGCTCAGGGTCTTACTGGCAAAGATAAATCAGGTAAACTGCTCCGGAGCTGCGGAAATTAATTCAGATATTTAGCGTTCTTTATTATAATACTAGAAAACCCGTCACAGGGAGGAAGCTAATAGGATTCTTTGATAGTAAGTTTTTATCGTTATATCAAACAATATCCATCACAACCGACGATACAGCCGATTAAAATATATCTCGCACTGAACACAACATAATATCAACAAAACCGATCAAAATGACGTTAAAACAATCATTGCACGTGCACGTGCGTGTTACAATCCTTGTTACCATGGTTACTGTGCAACCTTCTGTTTTTTACCTAATTTGCACGTGGGCGGTCGTACAGTGTACGTACATTGTACAAACAAAGATAATTCTCTGAATTATATAAGTAAGACTAGAAAACCCGTGGTCACAGGGAGGAAGCTAATAGTATTTTTTCTTAGTAAGTTTAAATCGCGTCAAAAAATATCCTACACAACCGAAGATACAGCCGATTAAAATATATCTCGCACTGAACACAACATAATATCAACAAAACCGATCAAAATGACGTTAAAACAATCATTGCACGTGCACGTGCGTGTAATAACCCTCGTTACCATGGTTACTTTGCAACCTTTTGCTTTTTACCTAATTTGCACGTGGGCGGTCGTACATTCTACAAAGATTGTACAAAGATAATTCTCTGAATTATAAGTAAGACTAGAAAACCCGTGGTCACAGGAAGGAAGCTAATAATATTTTTTCTTAGTAAGTTTAAATCGCGTCAAAAAATATCCTACACAACCGAAGATACAGCCAATTAACATATTGTTCGTACTAAACACAGCGTAATATCAACAAAACCGATCAAAATGACGTTAAAACAATCATTGCACGTGCACGTGCGTGTAATAACCCTCGTTACCATGGTTACTACGCAACTTCCTATTTCTCGTCTAATTTGCACGTGGGCGGTCGTACAGTGTACGTACAGAAATAATTCTTTGAATTATAAGTAAGATCCTTTGTCTTTTTGCCACTCTAACCCTACTTGATGATGATTTTCTGACAGGTACCAGTGATCCGTATGTTACTGTACAAGTTGGAAAAATAAAGAAAACCACCGCCACAATACAGCAAGATCTGAACCCAAAGTGGAACGAGAACTTTAGCTTCGACTGCAATAATTCCTCAGACAGAATCAAGGTTTGTTGACATCATTTTGACTTTTATACCATTTATTTTCCTTGTAAATGAAACAAAATCAACCTGCAGGATATTCTTTGAAATTAGCTCATAAACCTATGATCCCGGGAACTGAGCGCTTGTATATTTCATATTTCATATTTGGTAACATGACTCTGAATGACTGTTGAGAGTGTGAATTATAAGTTCTGTATATTAGGTGCGGGTGTGGGATGAAGATGATGACTTCAAGTCACGTGTCATGACTCACCTCAAACGCGAAGCAGACGACTTCTTAGGTCAGGCCATTATCGATGTGAAACAACTTTGTGGAGAAACCGACGTCTGGATCGATCTGAGTAAGTAGAATTTTATGAGATTTGAGTTTTGAATTTGTCAGAAATTAAAATGTTTTGTAAGATTACCTAAATGTTTCAATGACTGGGAGCTTAGAGCTGACCTGTTATAAATTACAACATTATCTTATTTCTAAATCTAGTCGGCGTCCAGATCTACGATCATGTTACCAAAACATGTTTTGTTAATGGTAAGTGTTAGCCGCGGTATACGCCCAACAGCTTATAGCTTCATATGCTCTCAACTCATCCATTCGCTTAGCGTATCATTAACAATTTTATCTCAAGCTGTAGCAGCCAACAGCTGAATAGAATTCTACGGAACGTGGAGCAGCAATAATCTTAAGTGTTCGCAGTGATGAACGTGATATCAGACTAGATATATTCTAATGTTGCCATGGAGTGGCAAGTTCCCATTCATCGCAGCCCGCTAGTTTTACTGCCTCTCAATATAATAAAATTGCTCGAACTCCGTAATGACCAGACAACACCAATTCATCATCACATATGCCCGAAGATACCACATTGTAAAATGTTAAATAATACCAACCTACAGAGAAATAACCAGCTAATATCCTAACAGAACAGAGAACAGACCGTTCGGACGTGTCCGGGCAAGTCCACCTCCGGATGACGATCAAGATAGAGGGAGAGGAGCAGAACATGGCAAGTTATCATATCCAGTACCAGATACTCCACGAGACTTTGTTTAATCACCTGTGTGAGGTTAACAATGGAGTTAATATCCCTCCTGGAACCCGCAAATTGAAGGGAGATGAACTTGATGTGAGTATTGGTTTCATTAAGAGAGATTGTATTGTTTTCCGTGGATTTAGACGTTTTAAGATCTTCTGATGTGTCCAATTTTTTTTCGGTCTAGATCTTAAAACACATCCAATTTTGAAACTAAGTGGCCACAAAATGTATTACAGTGTAACTGATTGCTTCAATGTCTCTTACAGGAGTGGCCGACCTTTTTCGACGGACCAGCTCAGTACATAGTTGAGGAATTTGCTACTCGTTTCGGAATCGAATCTATTTTCATGGCCATGACGTAAGTTACATTCGTTTTTTTGAAATCATTATTCTCTCAGATGTTTCGCTTTAAAGACAAGAAAGGTCTAATTATGGTTTCTCATTTTTTCTTGACTTTATTATGAAAGTGAGAGAAACCAGATGCCTCCTCCAAAGTCATGATTTAGTCACGACTTGTAACATTTGTAACCCACACTGTAACACACACGCTGTAACCCTGAACTGTTACACACACGCTGTAACCCTGAACTGTAACACACGCTGTAACCCACACTGTTACACCCTGTTACAGGCAGTTCTCGTGTCTAACACAGCGGTTTATCACGAAGAAAGACGCTCCACCTCAAGACGTTAGCAAGTTGCTGGCTCTTATCAATAGTCATTACAGACGCAACAACGGACAGGAGATCAACGTCTCTAACTTCGGAGTAAGTTTGATTACGCAATGTAAATGTTATGAACGGGATGATAGAATGATCTTTGTCTTTTTTTAAATTTCTTCATAAAAAGTGCCTACAGGAAATAAGTTAATTAGTTTAATAAGTTTTTGAAAACTAAACTAGTGAAATATTAAAATTATTTACTAACTGGTCCACACTCCACACGTTATGTAGCTTGTGTATCTCTCCAGAAACAAAAGTTCACGACAGTTCTAGACAGACTACAGTCCAGTTTACGAGAGAACCTCGCTTCCTACAAAGCGGTCTACCCCTCTAACAGAGGCCAGGAGAAACTGGACGATCTAGAAAATTCCATCGCTCTACTGACCAGCATCGTCTTTTTCAGACTCAAAGTAAGTGAAAGTCCGTGTTTCAGAGTTTTTTTTGCAGAAATTTCTTTGAATACTAATAGCAGGTATTGTTCTGGGACTTAAAGGAGGCTGACAACTTTTTGGAGCTCATTTTCCAGTGTGGAAACTGCGAGCTCCTCTCCTCTCCTCTCTCCTCTCCTCTCCTCTCCTCTCCTCTCCTCTCCTCTCCTCTCCTCTCCTCTCCTCTCCTCTCCTCTCCTCTCCTCTCCTCTCCTCTCCTCTCCTCTCCTCTCCTCTCCTCTCCTCTCCTCTCCTCTCCTCTCCTCTCCTCTCCTCTCCTCTCCTCTCCTCTCCTCTCCTCTCCTCTCCTCTCCTCTCCTCTCCTCTCCTCTCCTCTCCTCTCCTCTCCTCTCCTCTCCTCTCCTCTCCTCTCCTCTCCTCTCCTCTCCTCTCCTCTCCTCTCCTCTCCTCTCATCTCTATCCTCTCCTCTCCTCTCCTCTCCTCTCCTTTCCTCTCTGTAACTTGTTTTTGTTTTTGTAACTTGTTCTTGTTTTGTGAGCCGATACTATCAATAAAATATATCGTTCCGGCCAACACTAAGGGGACGCAATATTAGGCTATCACTTTCAATGACAAAAGAATGAAGGCAGTTAAACACGATTTAACAAATAGACACTGAATTAAAAAAATATACGAATAAAGTAACAATTATGTTCATTAATCTGGGCATAGTAATTAGTAATGACTCGACAAGGAAACAAAAATTGAATGACACAAAGAATAGCTCATTTAAGCAGAAACAAAAAAAGGATATTAGCTCAATTATTTACGTCTAGAAATATTGTCGAAATAAGCTTAAAATCTATCATAAAATGTATATCATATACTTATAGTTATACATTAAACAAAGATTACATTAACGATCTGTCTTAAAAAGGGTAACTACTTAATATAGAAAGAGAAAAACTCGTGATATCGTCATAAAACGCATCTGATAAAAACGATTGCTCAGTTTGTCAAGTCTTTTATCCATTACTATTAGGATTACTGGTTGGTCGGTTGTTTTAACCAGAAGTCCAGTTTATCGCCCTAGTGACTCTATATACCGCCAACCCTAACCTAAACCTAATTTGAGGTACCTTCCGTAAAGAACCACACCTGAAACTACTCTTCACAAACCTTCCAAAACTTCTGATAGAGAGGCTGTAGATAATAGGGTTAGCGGCAGAGCTAGCATATACCACTAGAGTTGTGGTCCTAAAAAAGGTAGCGAACCATATGGTATGAGTCAGTTCTCTTGGCAGAGCATCGCGCATGATGATGAAACAGCAGTATGGAGCATAGGAAGAGACAAAGACAAGAGACACACAGAGGAGGGTAAGAACACTCTGTCTCTGGATAGCACCCGTCACCCTTTTTACTAGGCAAGCCAGCCAGATAGTAGTGATAAAGATAGTTAGAATAGGGAGCAGCACGAAGAGGACAGCAGCGACCGTGCTGAAGATATAGACCACACGAGAGTTGTCTGAAGACATTTTGGTGCATTGGTTACCTCCAGGTAGGAACTCAATGGTCGTCTTGTCCGCCATTTCAAATATCACTGGAAAAACCGAGAAGAAAGTGGTAGATATCCAGATGAGAGAGCACACCACGTGACCCTGTCGGAATGTTCTAGACCTTGCCCTTAACGGAAAGAGGAGGCAGTGGAGCTTGTTTACGTTGAGAATGGATATAAAAACAGTCCCAACTCCCTGGATGAAGTAGAAGAATCTTGTAAAGATGTAGCAGAGGACTTCCCCGTACACATTCGACCCTGTGGTAATATAAGCTACGTTGATTACAATGAACATACCAGAGGTAAAGTCGACTACAGCTAAGTTTCTGATGAGACTGATAGATACTCTGTCAACTGGCAGAGCGTTGTACTTTACAGAACCAACGAAGACGGTGATGTTTCCCAAGATGGAGAGTAAGGCAGTGAAGAGAGACCAGACCAATGCTAGGTGTCGTCCTACAGAAGAATAGTGCTGGTAGAGCCAAACCCTGTCAAGATTTCCGTCCAAGGAGGTATAGTTGTGTATTTCGGATGGTGACACTGCTGCGGAAGGAGAATGGAGAATTTCTGCTAACATTTCAGTGATGTTTGTGAAAACATCAGTGTTGTTAGGGGTCGTGAGATTCATTTCTGAGAAGTTGTTTAAAATTAAATAGTGCCTGAAAAAACCAAACATCAACATTGTTATTTTTTGCTTTATTGCCTGCCAAATCTCAAAATGATCCCATAAAAACTGTAAGAATGATTGAGAATTGAAATTAAAACAAATGGACCATTTTTAGAAATTTGCAATGTTTTTTATGTTCAAAATTATCTGATTGATCTCACTCTCTTTTTAAAGAATAAGAAAATGGTGACGCGTCAGCATGTGTCACGTGTGAAATTGGGCTTGGCTTATTGGTCCACTACACACGGTCTTAATACTTAAACGCTCCATCCTGACGTCTTTAAAATGTCCACTAAAAAGCCATTAAATAACCAGCGATACAGATAAATAGAGTGTTTTCGTGGTCACCAAACGTCAAATATTTTAGAATACATGCCTCTAGGAATGAAATCAACTAGGGATTGATATTGAAACAGGATTGGTTTCGTACCAATTCATAGTAAAAAAATCACGCTTTAATGGCTTTCAAGAAGTTAGTTCGGGCTTTTAAATATCATAAATTCAAACAAAATGACATAATGCTATAACGGTGCACCACTTTACAAGGCTTGTCAGTAGTGGCACCTTGCTTAGAAACAGCTTATCGGGCAAACAATGTCATCTTCAGATCTTCTCATTGGAGTATCGAGATCCCATCAGTGGGCAGTATGGCAGATTTCAAGGAAAGTTATTTCGCGAAAACCTCTATATTTTCTATGATAAAAAAAGCTAACTATAAATGATAAAGAGTACTGATAAATAGTTGCGCTAGAGAGTTTAGATAAATAGCTTAAGAAATGAGTCTTTCAATATCTTATACCTGTGCACAGCTTTAAATAGTGGTGCAAATTATGGTATTATCTTTCGCTTGACGTAGATCACTATGATTGATATCTTAACTCAAGTCTTTATATAGGATGGCTGAACAATGAACAGGACATGTTCAGATCATATCGAATAATAACTATCTCAACACGCTGCATATGTCACGTGCTTAGCTTGTCACGTGCAAAATTGCGCCGCGCTCATTGGTTTAGTACATGCGGGTTCTATATATAGAACTTCATATGGTGTAGCTTGTTGGGATAGTATAGGAATTCTAGTTCCTATAGTTGGGAATGAGGTAGTTGTCTGTTCACAGATCGCCCTCTAAAAAACTTACAAGGAAATATTTCCTGTAGATCCTTGGTATATAAGCAACATTTGACAGAGCATTGAGTGGAGTGAGCTATGTGCCCATCCTTGGAGATCCCGGCGAATGTTCTTGCTGTACGGCAGTGTTAAACAAGGAACTGAAACCGAGGGGTTTAATACTTTCAACACTACTATATAACAAATAATTTAAGGAAACGATGTAACAGAGTCGATATATTTTAATGTTGCCAAATGCCATGGGGTGGCAAGTCCCCATACATCGTGGTCCGGTAGTTTCATTGCGTCCTAATATATATAGAACTTCATATCAATATGAATTTGCATTATATTATATATAATATAATGCAAATTCTATAAACTTTCCCCATAACCCATGTGAAGTGTGGACGTTTTTCAAGTGTATCAGAATAGAATTCAATTGTGCTCAAAATTCACTGATCTGTACAGAAAAGCTGTTCTAGTCCAGTCATATCTAGTGACTAGGATCAGTCAAAGAACTAGAGACTGAGTGCTAATGTTGTAGATGTTTTAAAACCGTTATGAGGGTCCCAGGAAATGTGCTACAGCCTTGCCCTGTCTGTTCACAGTCGTCATAGTTACTCAGTAGTTGCCTTGAAATTAAAAGTCGACATATTACGTACTAAATTTGTCATTCCTGTAATAGTCACGTCTGCAGTATTAGTTCAATTGAGTGGTTTCGAGGGGACAAAATGTCGTTATATTGTATTAAAGGTCTGAATTCTGGTGGGCAGGTGATGCAGCATCCACATCTATTATTTAATTAAACATTAAATTCTTGATTTTCAGAAGTGTGCAATGCAAAAGTATCCCAGATCTTTTAACCTTTTATTTGTAAAATCAATAAATCTGATATCTCATATAAAACTTTATTATCTGGTATTAACTGAGTATTTGTGCAGGTATTGCAGCAAGGTGGTAACGGTGGAGGTGGTAACAACAGACGTACTAACACCAACATCATCATCAAGGATAGAGTCAAGGTACGTTTAACACAGATATTTTTATAACTGCTATCATGGGTATCTGAGTCAAAATGCCTCCTCCCATCTTCAAGATTAATTGCGTGCAAACTATCAGCCCCATTTGATCAAATTGGTTGATCTTTGTCCCCGATAATGGTCTCGAACTAGGGGAGGGGTCCTATAAAAATTGTACAGTAAAGCACTGGGGGGGGGGGGGGGGGGGGGGGGGGGCAACCATATTAAAGTATATTAAAGTATATCCCCGGGTCAAAATCGGAAAAAATCCTACATTTTAATATACTTTAATATACCTACAATTAGAAGATTTATATTCTTCGTTAAGATTTACATGATGAACTATATTTTTCACTCAGATTCGCAAGATAAGCCTGTTTTAGGACTAGTACATAAATTGCCAACCAGATTGGTCAAAAATTGGCTGAGCTATGAGCTTTAAAAAATATGCCCATATTTGGGCATACGCTTTTGCCCAAATTCGCTTTTGCCCAAATTCGATAAAATTTCAATATTTTTTAATGAGACTAACTCTATGTGAAAGATATAACTCAGTGTTTGTTGAATATAGTGGATACTAAGTAAAAAGACCTCCATGAACAAAATTGGGAAAATTGCACATAATATCTCGGTTCGGAATACTAGCCAAAATGACTTCATTAAAATTGAAATAACTCTATCAGTTTTCAATATTTTTTCAAGAACTTTTTGGAATCGATTAAGAATTGCATTTCAAGCTTATTTTGGGCAACAATTTTTGATGTAGGCCTCCAAGGAGATAGGGATATATTAAAGTATATTGTAGGTATATTAAAGTATATTAAAGTATATCCCCGGGTCAAAATCGGGAAAAATCCTACATTTTAATATACTTTAATATGGTTGCCCCCCCCCCCCCCCCAAGCACTGTTCACAGAAGTCGCCTCACAGGTAGTTAAAGCTTCCATACCAAAAATTTTTTAGCAGAGAGTATGCCTTAACTTCCTATCTATAACATCCTAAAGCGATTTTAGCAGCAGAGGTCGGTATTCGGTAACCAGAGCTACAAAAAGGCCATCCTGTATTATGGCACTTACTAAAATGACCCAGTAGGAACTGCTGGTGAGCCGCATAACCGGCACCCTACCGAGATCCCTGGTGATCTGTTTTGGCTGTACTCTCGGTTATATTTCCAGGGCAGTCACATGACTAAATGTTTGTTGTCTGAAAGGTGTCAAAGCCCCTAGGATTAGAGATAAGACCCAAAAATGGGAAGTCGTGAGCAAATTCGAAAATATGTATAATCTTGACTAAACGTTATATTTTGCTATCGTTGAGAAGAAGTATTTCGGTCTGACTGGTGTCCATACGTCAAGAAGTAGGAAATTGTATGCTTAAGACGAGGGTTCAACATCCATCAGCGTAGCTAAAACCAGTAAGAAGATATTTGAGCTCAAAACCACCTGAGGGGTAAAATTTTACCGTGTGAAAGATCGAGGCTAGGTCAAACTATCGGCTTTAGCATGGTCTATAATGGTACCACGTAAAAATCAAAGTGCTTGGAGCCTTGCCTGGTGTTGTTCCTGTAACAAGAAAATATCCCCAAAGGGTGGAAGGTGGTTCGTTAGGATGGGGCTAGATCGTATTTTTCTGCGAAAACCACATGTTTACTTGCAGCCCATAGGGTTAATTTCGTCCCAAAAGTGATCGACCAAAGTAAATTTTGACAATCTCAACCCATAGAGGACTTTTTTAGAGTCCTGGCAACATATGTACATGCCCGGAATATGGCTAGCAACATACATGGGCCCTAGGGCACAAAAGAAGAGACTGTGCCAACACGATTTTAGGCCCAACTGTACAGACGGAATTTTGAGCTTGAAGAAAGAAGCCCTCCTGAACCAATCAAAATGGGCTCATGGGCGCTTGTCATTGACCATGTACTTGTTTAAAATTGCCCGCTTTACAACATTGTTTCATTGGTTTGAACCAAAAATAGTTTTATCGACACTAAAAAGACCCTTGAAAAAAGTCTCATTTTTTAGTCATCACCCGTTATTACATATCGCCTAATTCTTATTAAATTCACAGTTGTGTTTGGAGAATACCTACGATTTTATCAGTACCAAAACAGACGAGGTCTATTCTAAGTATGCGAACACAGAAGAAAATACTGAACACGCTAAGATAGCCTACTGGAAGAAGCTTATAACCCTGATTCTAGTGGAAATGAAGGAAGACAAGATGTTTTATGAACCTATCTTTAACAGGTTTGCTATTTTTTGTTTATGTACAATTTATCTTTATGTTAATGTTATTCAAAATGTGTACTTTTTATCAAACGATTTTCGGTGGTAATCTGAACCGTTGTTCATGATAATATTGCAAATAACTGCCAAGTATTTTGCTGATATGAGTCTTTCTAATTTTTCTCTGCACTACAGGTTTTTCCCCCACGCGGCCCTGTCAGCGCAAACATTCTGGGAGCTGTTGTCACGTGACTTGAAGACTGACTTGACGGAGAATCTCGATGCCTGGCTCAGCGAAATTCTTACCTCCGACATCATGGGATTCCAGATGACTGTCAAGTTCGTGTACGACAAGAAAATAGCTCACCTCCAAGAATACGAGAATTCCTTGCCAGATTATCCCAAATGGTTCGAGCCGTTCGTGATGAAACATCTTCAAGAGTCAGACAGTAAAATCAAGAACATGTTCTTAATCAAGAGTCTTGACAAAGACACATTCACAGTTCAACCCAATCAGACCATCAAACACTCCTCCTCAGTCATCGACATTTTCAGTTCTTTGAGAGCAACCTACGATTCTTTGGACAAGATGAAATGCCCGATACCCGCTCTGCGAGACAAATACCACAACCGATTTTGTGAAACTATCGATGTGGTTCTCATAGAATACACCAAACGGATCATAGACGTGTTCAAAAAGAATCTGGGAACATCCGGGGGTCTTGGAACGTCGTGTGTGATTCTGTGTAACATCCACCGCGTCAGAGAGGAGCTGGAGTCTATCTTCAAAACAATGGGAGGAGAACTGTTGGACATCACTGCTAAACAAACCCTGGAGGGCACTCAAAAGAGGTTGAAGGATGCTAGGAACAATGTTATTTCTGATTTAGTGAAAAATATGAAGCCTGAGATCGAGAAATGCATCCGGGACATTAAAAACGATTTGCGGAATGTGAGGAGTAAAAACGGAGAGGACTACACTGAAATTGTTTCTCCTTTGATCGAATATTTTGATGTTGTCTTCAAAATATTTGTCGACAGCCTATACGATGACGTCCGGAAACCACTTTTTCAGCAAACTTGGAAAAGAACTTTAAAACTTTTCGAGGAAATAATAATCCTACCAGACATCAACTGTATAGCCCACGAGGAGGTTCAAGAACTGAACAGCAAGCAAAGCCAGGTGGTCGAAGCCATGTTGGACATGCTCAAAGCGTATTTCACGGACTCGAGCGGTAAATGTTTGAAGGCCAGGAATCTGGAGAAGATGACAGAGATGCGTGACTTGAGGAAAGTGTTGTCTCAGTACAGACTCACTACGGATACCCTGATCAAGAACTTTGTGACTCAGGCTGACAATCAGAACCGGTTCGCTGAGGAGGATTCTCAGGGTGAGATTCAGCTGCAGGTGGACCTCTTCACTCCACCTGGACAGGAGCATCATGACTGTACTGTGAAAGGTTTGTATTCCCTTCTAAACTGTTATTTCTCACTATTATAGCTTTGGAATTTCGCCATTGCGTGCGTTTATGTATTATCAGTCTACGAAATATACCGAGCAAAGCTGTTGTAATACCGAGTACCTACGGAGAGTAAATATGATATATACGCCTTTATGTCAATATGAATACTTGAATACTTGAATATAGCAACATGAATAGGGCGACTTGATTCATTAATTTCAGTGGTTTCCGCGAGCCGATTGCACTGGAACACAACGAAAATGTTCCGTCCCTTCGTAGAGGTGAACCTTATCGGGCCTGGAACGTCGGGGGTAAAGAGAAAGTTCACTACTGGCACTAAAAACAAGACTTACTCTCCACTCTTCAACGAATCTTTCCATTTGTAAGTCAATAACTTAAAGTTAATTACGATTGAAGCATCAATTCATTTAATTGTGACGAATTTTATTTTTGGTTCAATTTAGATGTTAATTGACTAGGTGATTATCATCGATTCTTTCAATACAGTATTGTTGTTTGTAAAATGTAAATTAATCAAGCTCAATCTCAGGAAAATAATGAAGCCAAACGACCCAATAGACTATGAACTACAGTTCTCAGTAAAAGACTGGTGTCTGATGAAAACAGATCTTCTGGTGGGTGTGGCTGTCATGCCGCTCCGCCAAGTCGTTGAAACAGGTTCAATACAAGACAGACTAGATCTGGGCCGGTCCCTTTACCTGACTAAAGAGAACATGAGCATTGTTATCATCCTGTCTCAGAGAGTCCACGATGAAGTGGCCCAGGAGTTTGTAAAGTTGAAGAAATTAGAGAGAACAGAAATAGTATAGGTCCGACCTGTACTAGTAGGTCTTTGTCGTTAGGTCCCCCTCCAGCTAGGGTTTTGTGTGTAAAGTTGTAACATACCACGGGTTGGTTTTATGCGTGATTCCGGTCCGGCCGCATGTCACTCACTTGCCGCATGTGATCTTATTATATCCGTCTTCAGTATACGATTTTTATTGAATTTATTTTTTCAATGTTGTTATTAGATTCGTTTGAGCTTTTAGTTTTTTGACTGTTGTGTTTTCCATTACTAGTAGACCATTGCTAACTTAATTATTAAGCTTGTAGTTTCAGATGCCCTTCTCTTCATGCTTTCGATAATTAACTTGATCAATTCTTTTTGATTTAAATTGGTTCTCAGACACAATATTCAGTGACTTAATAACATTTCGGTATTTATTTGCTTTTAATTAAAGTTTTAACTAAATTTTGATTGATTAAATTATTTTAAGTTCGTTTAAATTATTAGATCAGATTTGTGTGTACCTTTATTGAATTATTGAAACTAATATTAAAGTTGACACAAAAATTTTCTAAACCTCAAAGTCAAGAGCATAATCTGTTTGAGTTTTGAGAAATGAAACTCATTTTGGTATTCGAATGGTTGAAGGTAGTTGGGCGAGCCCTCTGCAGTTTCAGTATGCGGAACAATGTCTCTAATCTTGATGAATATTCTACTTTGTAAGTAAGTTCACTCAAATCCAGATTTTTGGAGAAGTATGATCAATCAAAACAAGCTACCAGATTTTAATTTTTAAGTTTAAGCGACCATATATTATACTGCAACTACATGTCTTTGAACTTGTAGATTAATTTCTTCAAGTTCAGCGTCCTTTGAGTGCACTGATGTTCAGTGTACTTTAAGTTAAATAACCTAACTCAAATTTAGTGTATCAGTTTCTATTTCTCGACGTGCTTTCGTGAAATTCGAATGATCATGGAAAAGTAATATAACTGCAGTAAGTAATATAACTGCAGTAATATAACTGCAGGCACCAATTTCAAGTAAAATACCCAAAATACCATTGCATTTTATCTGATTCACTTTTGCTTTGAAAACGTTTTATTTTGTAATCAAAATATTGAATACTCAATACTGCACACGTGAGTTGAGGGAGTGATGTAAAATTTGTGAAAATTCTTATTTTGTCGGACATATTTCTGCATTATTTACAATTTTTTATTCAAACAAAATATGATATGATGTGTTTCACTTCGGTTGGTGATTAATCACTCTACACTCGACTGTCACGTGACTTTTTAACACGTTCTCTACGTGGCCCTGAATGACTATTCAAAACCCTTATCCTCTAGAATCTGATCCCAACCCTAACCCTAACCCAATCCCTTACTGAAGCATATGCTGAAACCCTAACCATACAAGAAATTCGACCAACTTCCTTATATTATGGTAATATCACGTGATCGAGACAGTTTTTCGACAGCGGAGCATTTTAACGCTAGTTCGCAGCTGTATCGTGGCTTTCGCCCCAATACACTAAATGGAATGACAGTAAGCCGTGAGGACTGATGGTCAGTGGTCACCGACGTAATACAAATATATCTGCAGTCATGTGGCATCATGTTTATCCATTACCAGGGGACCTCAGGCTATTATGTTCATAAACATAGAGATTCGGAGGAATGACAGGCTGAGCGCGGCTCAGTAAGTTTGTTCATTGTTAATGGACTAGCCCGGCGCGCGCTACTTCGTTGCTGTGAGAAGCCTCATTTGCATTGAGTGCGCGGCGCGGCACAGTTATAACGCATCGCGTTACAATTAAGGGTTGCTCTAACCTCAAACCTGAGCCCTCTCGCTTGCAGTAGCGCGCGACCGCCGAAGTGAAACAAGCGCGTCACGCAGTACGCGTAGACACATGGCTATGTGAATTACAAGGGTTAAGGTTGCCGGTTGCAGGGATCAAATTTGTAGCGCGATGCGTTACTGTGCCGCGCCGCGCACTCAATGAGGCTTCTCTAGATCTGTGAAATGCGCTAAGCTACTGTGCCGCGCCGAGCTGAGATGAATTGACATCGTCAATTATAAGGATCAAATTAAAAAGTTAGGGTTTCGAATTGATTGACGCGACGATCGACGACGAAGCAAGAATCGACGACGAAGCAAGAATGCTAGTTTGCGTTACTGAGCCGCGCTCAGCCTGTCATTCCGCCGAATTTCTATGTTTATGAACATAATAGCCTGAGGTCCCCAGGTAATATAATAATAGTTTGCGATGCGCGTCGAAGTGCAGGCGAAGTCCTCCAAGTCGAGTGTTAAGTGATTAATCATCATCCGATCCCTAATGGCGCTCATTAATTTAAAAATGTATACTAGTAACATTTTGTGTTTTACGTTTTGTCATTTGCTTTCACATGTACGTCTACGCGTACTGCGTGACGCGCTTATTTCACAAGCGAGAGGGCTCTTGCTATAAATAAATTGTAAACACGATGCAACTGCACTCACACTTGAAAAAGTTGTGATCTGACATCTGACAGGTTAGGCAACAAAGTTTTATCGATTGAGCAAATCGCGAACGAATACCCTTTTAGCATTTTGGCAAATGGTTTATATTTTAATTTAAAATTTAATGCGATGCCGTGCGCGCCGCGCAAAAGTTTTTGGTATTACGATCTGACATGACATTGAAATTTATGAAGTGTATGAATCGAGCGCTACACAAATTTTATTTAGCTGTAGCAGAGCGATTAAGCTTTAATCTTTTATACTGTAACGAAGTAGAAGGAGTTATTACATATTATCGTGTTCGTCCTCTTGCAATTATTTGAAAATGTGACTATCAAGTGATGATGATGATGACCTAATATGGCTCCTCCAAAACACATGATTGTCTTTAAGTTGGAAGCTTGGGCTTCGGTGCTAGTGCAAATGGCATGGAGTATCACCCTACTAGGCAACCTCATGCTATTTTTAACTCGCTATAGTGCACCCCTGCAGATTTCGTCGATTTCAGGTGCCGTCGGCACCATAAAAATTAAAAGCAAACATACATTTTTTTCCCCTAAAATCGAACGCTTTCTGCGCAAAAAATTGACCTCAACAGAAAAAATTAAACATGGCTTCAAATCCAAATTTGAACCAGAGATTTTTCACTTCCTCTCGATAAACTCAATTTTCAACCCAAAATAAAGTCTCAAAGGGGTAAATTACTCAGGTCAGGATTGTAGGCAATGATTATGCCAAACCATACATTTTTGTAAATTCATTAAACTTTCAATTTAGCCTAATAACATAACACCCTATTTCGCAAAAATTTTCCGGGGGGCTGCGCCCCCCTAGCCCCCGCCAATGGGGTCCGCCCCTTACCTGGACCCCGCTGGGGGCCGCGCCCCCAGACCCCTGCCACAGCTTGCAGCTTCGCTCGCCGACAGCCCCCCCCCCCCAAAGAAAAATCCTGGCTACGTGCCTGAGCAAAATATAGGTTTAGGGCTTTTCAGATGATTTGGCTCCTCAACATGAACAGATACCGACGTACATAACGGTCAATATGTAGTTTAGGTTTACCTGGCCCGTAGGTTACGAATGTGCCCGAGGAGGAAAAAAAACTTAAAAGTTCACCTCAAAACGAAATCTGCACCTATGCTATAGTGTATTGCTATAAACTATTACTTGTTGTGGATTGTATCTTTCGCCGAGATCAGGCCAAACTTGTATCTGGTTAAATGTTGTCTCTTTGGTGGAAGATAACGGGTTTGAAACCCTCTTGTGCTATCAATCCCAGTCGAAAGGATGCGGTAACGAATTGTTCACACTCGTCTTATCTGAATGATCGGGAAATCCGTCACTGAGAATTAAATGAGGAAGAACCCTGTCAAAAGATCTCGAATCTTGCAAGCTTTTTACCAAGGGTACGTGCCTATCCCTATGCGCAGCGCTCATTTCAAGCTTCTTTTCTTCTCTATATGAAGGGAACCGAGACTAAGAAGCTAGGTAAGTAAGGTTTCACCTTTGTGAACATCAAATTGGAGTGTAGCTGCTAACAATATTGATTATTTATACAAGGTATGTAGATGTTTCATTTCTGTTATCACTTTAAGTGGGTTTTCCTTTTAGTTTTAAAGTGAATGGTATTTGTAAACTCCAGCCTATAAAAAGCAAATTTTAAGTCCACTGGTGGTTAAGAAGTAAGAGTTACACCTTTTGCAATTTGATTTCGAAGATTACATACCTTAATTTTTTAAAGTTATCAAAGTTTGGCATCATAGAGACATTATTTCGTAAATACTCCGTAACATTCTATATTGTTTGAACCCATTTGGTAGCTGACACCTTGACCGGTTTCACTTAATCAGTGAGGATCAACACGCCATTTTTATAAATCTTTAAGTTTGCGCCATTTGGTAACTGTACAATGCAATATGCAATTATTTCAAAACATTTGTTATTATATCACTTTTTAGTTCACTCTTTATCTTGTGTTAGTCATATAAGTTAATTATCTTTGAATCCAAATTAGGAGCAAAATGAAACGAATCCTTAGCAGAAGCTCACTAGTCAGCACTAGTCTCCTAAGACATTCTCTACAGAATTGGAATCAAACTCCACTTATATTGCAAAATCGTGGGATGTTTATACAAACTCAAACAACACCAAATCCAAACAGTCTTAAATTCATTCCTGGTATCCAGATTCTGGATCACATAGGAACTTATGATTTCAACTCCTTAGAAAATTCAAGGATATCACCCCTCGCTCGTCAGCTTTTCAGGATTGAAGGTGTAACTAGAGTATTCCTTGCACCTGATTTTATAAGTGTCACAAAGGATGATAATGAGCAACCCTGGAATACTATGAAACCGGACATCTTTGCTTGCATAATGGACTTCTTTTCGAGTAATCAGCCTGTCCTTCTTGATGAAGCAACATTAGCTTCAACAAGCTCAATCAATGATGACGATGATGAGACCACTATCATGATAAAAGAACTTTTGGACACCAGAATTAGACCAACTGTCATGGAAGATGGTGGTGACATAAGGTTTGTAGCTTTTGAGGATGGCATAGTCAAGCTTGCTCTACAGGGATCATGTTCAGGCTGTCCTAGTTCATCTGTGACTTTGAAAAATGGCATTGAAAATATGATGCAGTTCTACATACCAGAAGTCTTATCAGTTGAGGCTGTTGATGATGAAATTATAGAACTTCAGAATAAAGTATTTGAGGAATTTGATAAGAAATTAGATGATAAGTAAATCATTTTCAACTTTCGTCTGAATGTGTATAACATTGATTTCAAAACCCAAAAGCTATCTTGATTAGAGACAAGCATCTTTTATATTATTTTGTACCATGTAAATATTGCCATTTCCATCTGATAAAACTCTAAACAATAGTTTAATTTATTATATTTGATGTCCAGGGGTTTTCCTTGATTGAGCTTTGTTTTGAGAATAATACTTGTCTCAATGTCTCATGTATGTTTTTTACTATTGCGGGCTCTTTCAAATCATTCATTTCGATTAGATAATACATCATCTTCTCTTACTCCATTTTCAGATAAGAGCTATCTTTTAATCATGTTCACTATCGCGATCGCCTTATTTCATTTTACATAGTGTATAGTGACATTTGATAACATTTCTTCTCTAGGCAAGATGGATGAAGAAAACCCATTCGCCGATCCAGGCCAGGTCAATCCATTCATGGTAAGTTGCTGAAAGAGCTCTTTGTACATCTCAATTTGACACTTCATGACACTTCATGGCGCTGTAACTAAATATTTTGATTACATTGTTCTCATAGAATTGTGAACAAAAAATGTCAATGTGTCTATTTGAAAACTTTGTTCAGAACTGTTCAATCAATCTTTCATAGTGACAATTAGTGTGAGTTCAGGGCTCTAACATAAACTTTTCAGGATCCATCAGTTATGCAGGTCTCTGCACAATCTACCACGGTTGTAGCTGGTTTAGACGATCCATTCGGCGCTGTAAGTACATTTTTCCATTGACCATCAATTTGTGTACAAGTGATATGATATGATGAGATAATTGTGGTGGCTTTAATTGCACGTTCATTGTTATATATTAAATAACAGCTGTTATCAAGACCGTTATTATCTTATCACTCAAACCGTATCCCATTTCAGCCATCGGAACCAGCAACAGTATCTGTAGCTCCAGTGATAACGCAGCCATCTGCTCAGATCACCCAGCCGGCAGTAGCCCCTGTCAGTTCTACTGGATACGGTGCAGGGTACGGTGCTCCCGCACCTCCTACCTCTAGCTACGGTGGTGCAGGTTATGGGTCAGGTGCTGCCTCTTTTAACTCTCAGCCTCCTAAACAGTATGGCAACGAGGAGACCATGCATAAACAAGTAAGATTTCTCAGCACCGGGCCTGTTTTTAGCACTTTTCTTGTGGTTTCTTTTTAGATTTTCAAGTGTGACTTCTCTCATTTGATTTTTGGCATCATTTGGCATTGTTTCAATTTTAGGAAGAAATAAATACAGAAGTCCTCCAGCCAAATGCTGAGGTCAGTAAATACTTTTCATATAACATTTTTTACTTGCTGCAAGTCCAATGAATTGTCTTATTTAATCTTAGTATCAGTACTGTTTCACACTTGCTCCCCGTCCAGACATCAAGCCTGTTCACTGGAGCTTTTCATACATACCTTGCATACATTTCGTGTTTAAATGTTTGAAATATTTTTTAGAAAGATATCTCTTATAAAGAATGCCGCATTTGTCCATTTTAGTAGTTTTGCCACGTTTTGGCCTTTGATAGCAGTGAGCTAACGATATATAATTATATGCTCAAGTTTCTGAAGAGATTTCCAGGCATGGTTTTGAGCATAACACTTTAGCCCTTGTCATATCAATCTAGTTATACATCGTGTCTACGACCAAGTTCTTAAGTTCAAAGATAGACTAAGATAGAAAACTTTGGGAAATTGAGCTACAAATGCATTGCATGGGGATGCTTTATTATAAATTAGCATGGGGGTTACTCAATTCATGTAATCAATAGCATAATCTTCTAATCATGAAGGTCATTGCACTCTCGAAGCCTGGCCTTGATGGTCTGAAAATGTTTTTGAATGATTATTCTACAGCTCATTTAAATTTCAAATTTTGAATTATTCTTATTAATTTGTTGAATCTAATCTTGATTTGTGTTACGTGATTTCATCTTTGAAAAAGCAGATATTTAAATATAATAAATAAATAAATTCTTATATTTAAAAAATCCTTTCACATTAAGAATACCCAAAAAGGTACATTTATACCATTCAAGCGAGACTTAGTATCGAAGTATTGTGACGTTGATTCAGATTTTTCAGCAACCAAAATAATCCAATTTTAGTAACCTAATTAGGAATTAGAATCGAAGTTACCCAATTACAATAATTGCCACAAGTTACTATCCACGGACCGTATCCAACTATATACCTAATACCACCAACCATTTCCTGTATTTGACCACTACACCACCTTTACTGCAGAAGACAAGTCCTGACTATTGAGCACGATCTTGGCTCTTGCCACGTATTGAGTTTCCACGTACACGACACATATCAAATAGCACTGTTATTGAGCCTCATTCTGTGCTTCTTTCAAGAATATTTCTGATAATTTCTGATTAGAAGCAGTTCTGATAACACCGCGACCGTCATCACTGACTCTAATCGGGAACAATCAGAAATCTTCTAAAACAAGATATGTATTCTTACCATATATCATTATATGGAGTAGTTTCCACGTGTAGTTATCGCGACTAAATAAGATTGGTATCAGGTACGGACTAAATTCGATTGGTACTACTGTATAGTGTATAGTGTATTATACTGCTGTAAAGATATAGATATTGAACCATATTTTTTCTGGCTCGTGACAGCAATTAACCAGTTAGCTTCCAGCGTTGACCAATCAAAGCCAGAACAACTGTCATGTGTCTAAACAAGTACACCTCCAGTATCCACATTTACAGAGATGATACTAATTGGCGGCTAATTGCTCTGATTTACAACACCCCTGGATACTAATTGGCGGCTAATTACCCTGATTTACAACACCCCTGACCTACCGCCCGGACATGATCCGGCTAATTCAACTTATTATGACTTCTTCTTCTTATTCCGTACATTCTTGAGAGTAGTACACACATTCTCGAATAATGACACAACCTCCTTACTAGTCATTTGGCATATTTAGAATTCTAAAAAATATCTAGCATCTAAAAACACAAAGTTGCAGACATACCCTAGCTCACATAACAGTAGGATTAGCTTGGCGATGCTCTCAGCTAGCTGCCTCCTAGTAAATTAGCTACGACGCTAATAATGCCACAGATTAGGAATAATCGATCTCATCCGACCACTGCTGCCTTCACTCGACCTGCCCTGCAATTACTCTCTTACGGCCCGTGTATTGTATAGTGTATACACAGCTGTGTGTGTCGTAAGATCGTATTGTGGCAGGGTGGTTTTATTAAAGACTGCGCCTCTCAGATCATATATAATCAAATAATGAGGACAGCACCTGATTAGATGAAGGCGTGTTATAGTTATAGTCATGTTATAAGGGGGGGGGGGGGGGGGGGGGGTAGTTAGGTACTATTGTGTAGTGTAAGTACATTGTACTCGTATCACTAACTAGTTACCAACCAATATTAACTTGTTACGAACCAATGCAATAGTATGATCCAGAGCAATAGCCTTCACTGTACACACATAACACAGTATGTTACACATACTGTTACATACCACATGTTATGGTCATGGTCTTACATTATACATATGAAATTAGACATAAACTCTGAATTACATGATTTTAGTGTCTCTTTCTGGATACTAAATTAATAGACTGCATGGCACACAAGTCTTAAGTGCTGTGTACTCACTAGTACTCATAACATTACAAGATAATATTATACCTTACACAGCATACCAACACACACTGTTACATTGTTACAAGGTAACAGTACAGTGTGTGTTCAGGGAGCGTGTGATGGTATGTTAGGTATTCAGCCACAAAACATGTGTTTTGCCACGCGTAGGAAGTGGGGAGCTTCAAGGTATTATTGTGTTATATCACGTGACAGCTGCTTCAAATCACGTGACAGCTGCTTTATAGTGTACAGTGTTCATGAGTAGTCACAGCACTGGTGCAAATGAAATTGCGTGTACACCTGGGCACATCTTGTAAATGTATTACGTTCCCTGTAGCATGAAGTGTAATAATGACGGGTAGTATTATAGGAGAACAGTGTAGAACCAATTTTATCATTTCAAGATATAAATGACGTGTTAAATCGAATCTGATTAAATTTTACATTGTGCAGTTTTTAAACAGTCAGAGAATTTCATGGGAAATAAGTTATTTGTATCCGAGCATTGTCTTACACAATTAGTATTTCTTGGAACATGACTTCACGTTCATCAAATAACTTGATTTCAACTGTACCTCGAGATAGTCTGAACTAACTTTGAAGTAATTCTGAAGTAACTGATTCAACGCTGTCACTATAATTTATGTCCGCATCTAATCAAAGTCTGGGAAATTCCGTATAAATATTTATAACTATCTTATTCACAAAACAAGTATCATATCATTTCAGAAATTGGTGGAGAACGAGTTTCGTAAAAGAGAAGAGGTAAGAACCTAATTTTATCATCATGTACATTGTACATTGTACAACATTCATCTTCATTTTATCGGCGACTCATTGTACTCATTGCACTTTTACAGTTTACAATTTACTCTCAGCTGTTTCATTTCCTAGTTCTCCAGTTCACATTACATTTCACACACACACTCACTGATTTTAAATTCTAGGATCTGGAACGAAGAGAACGACAGCTGCGTGACGAACAGAAGCGTCTGGAAGAAGCGCGTGTGTACGGAGATCGTGTTCCCAATTTCCCACCACTACCCAAGTTTTTCCCGTGTACTCCCTGTGTGTATCACAACATTGACTTTGACATTGCTCCTGAGCATCAACTCAATGTAAAACGATGCTTCTATCATTGGCAGTGTAAGTATAGTTTAGTGAAATAAGATGATTTACTCTACTTCTGTTTACTGTAGCAATTAACTGATAATGTAGCTGTGTAGCTAACCGTCTTCCACTAAATAGCACGACCGATTAATGTCTACTATCTTATTACCAAACTAAATATTTGTAGCTATTTCATCCTGCAAGTATAGGAATGTTATTATGTATAACCATATATATATATTATATATATTATTTATATACCGCCCTGTACACAATCCCATATAGTATAACTTGTGTGTGCAATCACATGTTTAACTATACAAATGTAACACAAGGTAAGAGAGCTGGAAATGCAGCATTCCCATGAGACTCAGCTCAGATTACTAACATCAGATCGTTTATGTAGGGGCGTGGGGCCCACAATGTAGGGGCGTGGGGCCTACAATGTAGGGGCATGGGGCCTACAATATACAATACATGGGTGTGTTCTGTATGTATATTACGTATGATTCAGTACGTGACATGAAATTACATAGTCAAAATACGTACCAGAGACTAATAACCGTGGAGTCACTGTCATGTATATTGTTTGGGATAATGCAATCAATTATTATATGCTTTATGTGCTGTTATTATGAAACACCATGATTGCGACAACGGGAGTTGTTGCAAAAATAGGTGAGACAACCAAGGTAAACTTTAAGCTAAGCTTGATCACGAAAGAATCACCTTGTGATTTATAAGATTTTTTACTCAAAAATTTTCCACGCACATTTAAAACCTACAATTTCAGTTACGGTGATCTGCTACCTGCTTAACTTCATTGTATGTTTCGGTATGATCTGTGCACTGGGAACTAAAGCTGGGTCTGCGTTTGGTCTGTCGCTACTGTACGCGGGACTCTTCATCCCTCTGTCATTCCTGACTTGGTACAGGATGCTTTATAATGCTGTCAGGTAAACCACAACAGTACCACGTCATTATGTTTTAAATTGATCTGATATCATGAACTTTGTTGGCTTTAAGTAAGAGAATCCTCGAAGAGACGTGCCGTGTTTGACGACCATTTACAATTGATGATTACAATGTTTTCAATACTTTTTCAAAACCTCAAAAACAAGTTGAATTTTGTTTTACCCCGAAAAAGACTTGTGACGCTAAATGTGGGGTTTAATTTCCGTACTTCATATTCTGGTATTATACCAGGACAGACAGCTCATTACGTTACATGCTCTTCTTCTTTTTCTACGGATGGCACATCTTAGTAATGGGCATTGGCGCGCTGGGGATAGGCGGTGGGGGTGTCGCGTAAGTTATATTACTTTCGTCTTCTCCTTTTGTATTCTCACACCTACCTTTCTTTCAGATTAGATAGCTCTATGCGATATATGCTGTTTTTCTTTATGTATGGATTCCAAATTTTCGTGAGCGGTATTGCAGCTTTAGGGTTTAATAGCGGCGGTTTCGCGTGAGTACTTCATATAATACGTGTTTCAGCGTAATGGCTGGGCTATATTCCCTACATGTTGGGAGATTTACTGAGCATTGCTATAATTCCTATATATGTAGCATTTCACGTGGTATTTCATATTTCGATCCGCTATATCAGCTATTTTGTTAGCATTCAGAGTGTTTTAACAGCATTTACATAGCAAGCATTTTTAAACCGCTACAGAATGTGTTTATTGAGTGTCAGCCTCGCTAAAATCACCGGAAAGCATGTTCATAAGCATATGATATATTAATTATTTCTGTTGGATGAGTCATAGTTTGATCAAGTAATTAACTTTGATAAAACTCAGCGGTTGGATCACAGCCTTCAAGACGATGGAAGATAACAAAGCCCTGGGTGTTCTAGGAATACTCGTTAGCTTAGCGTGGTGCGCCAACTGCCTTATTGCAGTCTATCTCATCATGCAGGTATGTGCCTGTTGTTTGACCTTCGTGTGATTGCGAAATTTAGAATTATCTAGATTTATAATTTATGTTGCAGTTAGCCGGGATTTACACATACTGGAATCAGGAAAGTTGTGCCCAAACGTAATCTGTTTATTAGAATTAAGAACTTGATCACTTAGTTGATCACTTAGTTGATCACTTAGTTGATCACTTAGTTGATCACTTAGCAAGCTGGTAATAATGTGATTTAAGTTTCACAGAAAAGCTACACTATACGCGATATGTCATAAGATAATAGGAGCGTGGAACATGCCCTATGTGTTGTGATGTCACAATACTGCGTGTCAACCTTGTGGGACATTTCTCCCAATATCAGCTAACTACTAGCAAAATATACCTTTCCCGCGGAAAATCATATCACTGTCATCGTACTTCATCCGGCGCGCGCACGTACATTCCTTCGATCAAGGTCTACTTTTTCGATTGAGCGCCTCCTCCACGTTTTACAAATCTTTCATCTTAAATTACTGCACTAATATCATAATTCATAAATATAAGATTAAATGCTGTGAGTTTATAGGAATAGTAAAAAATAAGTGTGAGAATAGAATATGTAATGTGGCGTAATCATCTTATGTATGCTTTGAAGAAGTCGATGAATGACTAGCATATTCTTTTGAGAATGTAGTCACCGTTCCTGCCAGCCAAACGATTTTCTGGTCCTATGAATCCTCATAACTTATTTAAGGGGAGTCTTTAAAATTCTATTCCTGCATTTATTTTGGCGATACAAATAACGCACATACCAAGGCAATCATTTAGATAAATAAGTTGTAAGGAATAAATCTAGCAAATCCAAAATAGAAAATTATCAGGAATAAAATCAGTTGATTTGGAAATAGCAGCAAGCTGTTAAGCCTGGGGACTGATTTATTTAGGTGCAAACTGCAAATGCGTTCTGGTGTGAAAACTAGCAATGTGGAATTTATAAATTAAAATCCTACCTTTGATTATATTTTTCTGGAATCCATAGATCTCCCTGGCGACGTGCCTGACCGGAACACAAACCCCACCCCAAGCCCTTTATTTTGATCCCCTTGGAACGGAAACGTTTAAAAGGAAATGAGCATCTAAATTCTTGTCATCACATTCAATTTCATAGTTGTTTGAACTAATAATCAACTCTTATTCCTATTTCAGATTCATAAGACCTACAGAACCACCGGGCAGAGCATGGAGAAGGCGTCAGGAGAGTTCGCGGCGAGTGCCGGTAGCAACAGGAACGTGGCTCAAGCCGTCCTGAGAAGTCTCTGAACACGACACTTTAATCTCTTGTGATATTATTCTCACCCCCTCAACAACACTTTACTAAGTGACGTGTCACTGTACAGATACTGATAATCGGCAGTTTGGAGCCGACTGAACTGTGGTACCCGTTATGGAGTCAATAAATTTTTAGTAGCTAATATAGCTAAAATGTTGTCCGTTCAGTCCATTTTTGAAGTTAGTTGTACTCTACTGTATCGTATGTTTTTTCTCTTTTGAATTTGATATCTTTCAAATGTTTAATAATTTATTCATTGCACAGAAGATTAAGTTCAGTTCACGATTAAAAAAATAGCAGAGCCCATTTGTTGGGAGTAATGGGATTGTTAAATTTCGAATAATGTAAATTTTGTTTTGGTTGGAAAAAGTTGAGGCTCTTTAAATTGTGAATAATGTTTGTTGCTATGGACACGGTCAATTTCCTGTCCGTGATGTGTGTGATATATATCTATTATTGTGTCAAAATGCTGGCGTTTATTAACATGATTAATTTCGATAATTTTGTTTATTAGAGATATTTGTCTTACTTTGTTCGAAGTCTTGGTTTCACCCCCTTCTTGCCATGCACAACCGTGCCAATTGCTGTGGATTTGATCAGATGATGATTCATTACCTGTTACCAGGCGTGACAAAACTGTTAAATGGCCATGGAGTTACAGCTTTTTAAAATGATTAATAATTAAAAGATTCATCTTAAAGTTATCTATATTATATTTTAAACTTGACGAAAATTCCCCGGCAACGGGACATAGAAGAAAAAACATTCGAAATCATCAAATTGATCTGGTGATGCAAAATGACTGCAATGAGTTAGAACTGCAATTTTTGTGACAATGTTGTTACGAAAAGGATAGAAATAATTACATTGAATTTGGATTAGAGTCATTTAATTATTTCCAATAAATAAACGTCCGAGTGAGTACAAATAACGTGATAGCATTGATCGAGTTTTGAAGTTTACTGTCCATTTGGTATGCAACATTATAAATGCAACGATCGCGAGCACTAACTCAAAACGTACGACGGCGTTGTATCGTATCTAGGTCATAATTTCAAAACTAGCTATTAGCATACACCTATACTTATATTATAACTTATGGTTGTGATGATTTTATATGGGATAAAAAGTATCGATTTAAATTAACATCCTGTTGCATGTTTATAAATTCATTATGTCACGTTAACAACAACATATATGTATGAATTAATGGTAAAAGTTTCACGATTTTAAAATTTCTACAAAGCCTTCCGAATAAGTTTTAGTATGTAAACTTTATGTAGACTGTAAGAAATCAAGATCTGACATTTTTCCGCGAATTCTAAAAATTCACATACAATGCGAGTAAATGTCACACATTAAATTTGATAGAGACTAATTGACTCTGACGTGCAATAGAAGCAATAAATATTTGTGGCTCCACATGTTATTGTGTTGACTGGCCGCGCTCATGATTTAACAATTTAAATTAAACTTGACTGAAGTCACTCAAACAACTAGTTTATTTCCGACTTGGTAAGAAAATGTACGAGGCTGAACCAGACTAATCAGCATGACCGGATTTTGATATTATCTGGGTAATTCTGATTTTGCAAATTGACCATACGTCGCGATTGCAACTTGCTATTGCAACGTAACCGATCTGGTCGCGTATCGATATGATTATACTTAAAACGTATTAGAAATAGTAAACCTACAATAGCATTAATGTACTGGTGTACTATACTTTATAGTGTGAATAATATCATGAATCATTTAACGTATTACAATTAACATCCATGTTAATAGCCTCAGTATCATGTTTTTACTTGTAACATCTAACAGATGTTACATGTTTTGCATCAACGTTGCTCCAATGTAATTTATATTACGTAAAATTGATTTAATCGAAGCATCACTTCCAAATAATGAGTAAAAGCACTTATGATATAAACGTGACACAGTGTAATGGCAGATTCTATTCGAGGACATAGATATATTCCTGATGACATCTCATCGCAATGGTATGAACCCTAAATAATGTAAATGTCAGTCACTGTCACATGAACTAAGGTAAAATTATGTATATGTAGACTCCAGCTGCGTTTCACTTTGCGTCTCTACTTGACGCTCCTAGGGGTACCTGCGATTCTGCCGGCGGTAATACTGACTATCAGTAAAAGTGTCACCACCTTAATCGCCGGTAACTCACTACTATCAGACCGCGCTGCACGTGCAGATAGTAACACATTGTAATCCAGAATTAGTAACAGAGATTAGTATAGTATAAGTTTTCACCTGCATATCGGTGCCTCTCTGATCCGTATTTTCACAAGCCTTATTTTATAGTACTTTATGCCCTACATAACATACTTTGATCTAGAATTATGGAAAGATCAATGTCCCCTGCTGTGCTTTAAACCTGGACATTCCTCAGTGCGCAGGAATGACACTGTAAATTGTATGATGTTAATGCAATACCAACGTCCATTATAATTTTGTGATTGATCTCAACATTGTGTGATCCAGTCACACTTAGACAATTTGATAAATATTAAAATTTGGAACATAGAGAAAAGCATTACTATTGTTGCCGTCATAATTGCTTTCAATAAGGTCGTAACAGAATTTATTGAAAATTAAAGAGCACAAGCTCTATGTAGCCAATATTTTTTTAAGTTCTTAGACCCGCAGTACGAGTTACGTTTTGATCAATTTTGGTAGATTTGTTGATGGCCTAGAAAACTTCTTTTAATCGACAGTAGTCCACCTCGCAGATCAGAGTCAGCAATACTCTATCATATAATCAGTCCGAGCCCGTGTAACGGTTGTTTTCCCTGGGTAGTTTGCACCTTTTAAATTGCCTGACTGTAACTCTCAACGTGCAATGCATGACCTCTGGAGCTGCGATGGGCAGTTGTAGGAGTCCAATCGATGCTGTGGCGAAGGGGGCTTGGACCGTGTTCATGGCTGATCCTCCTAATACCATGACATAATTTACACAAGGCCGTATGTAACATTTTAAGGTAAATTTTCCAGCGACAGCAAACAAAACTAACTTCTCGGTCTGAAGGACACCAACTTACTTCTCAGCCGCCAGTATGAACACAGCAGCTGATAATTTCAGAAGGGTCTCTGTACCCCCATATCGGAGGGTCAAACATGACAGATTACTTAGTTGGATGCGAACGATGTCTTTGAAATTAATCACATGAACTTGTGTTTAAAAGCCTTGCGCCGCATTTTCAGTCAAGTCTCCAATGTAGGATTGGACTCCCTAACAACACCAAATTTCAGAAGTTCTGGGATTGCGTGCCTTATGGATTAAACAACAGTCTGATGTAAACGAAGACCTTTATATTGCGATTTGTTATTTCCTAACACTATTACTAATTACTATTCTATTTTAAGCACCAGCCACCAGATTATAATTTAAAGGCGTCCACGGACGCCTGGACGCCCTCAATAGCCGCCTCTGGTGCAAGGGTGGACTGGAACCAACATCAAAATAATGTGAAATGTGATTTCACTGTTCACATTGAAGGTCTAATGATAGTTCATTATAATATGTATTATGTAGAAGCTGCAGCCATGCAGTTTAGACTTTTGCTTTTGTCTCTAATTACTTTTGCTCTCTATTTGTGGGTACATATGATTCTGAACCGGGCTAATCTGGCTTCAGTAGAACCAGTGTCCACCTTCCACGGGTAATCACCAACCTGCTACGCAGCACGCATGCAGATTGTCAAAAGTTTAGTAAAGCGAGTAAACCATAACTTTAGTTAGTGACTTGATTTTCAGCTGTAGAAGCTCGTCATGCAATTTTTTTCGGTCGGAACCATCTTTTGATCCCGTAATTTTTCACTTGAATGGTTATTTCTATTTTAATATGTCTATATATTGGAGTTTAAGAACTGTCAATATAGTAAGCTTCCTTTGTCCCCCTTGAAGTGTGCTTATTTATTCCCTGGTTACTCCCACTGCCTAACAGATCCCACAATTTACAGCCGCAAGTTATCTTTGAGTGATAAATGATCCTAGCCATAAATTTGTAGGTGGGCCATTAATCCAGCCAACTAGCCTTCAATGATTATCTTTTATTTGGTAGCTAAAGGAACCAAGTCCTGATTATTTTTGCCGTCATAATTGCTTTCAATAAGGTGCGGATACACAAATTTTATTATAAAAATTTGATACTGCACTCATAGTCAATATTTGTGTTTAAGTTCCTTAGTCACTCCGGCAGGTATTTGGAAAGATGTAGATTGCAGTCAAGTAATTAGGTTTGTAAAAATTTCTTTTCTGATAAGTTATATATGAGATTATTTAGTTATTTGTTGTGTAACACTGTTTCATCAATTAAATCGGTCACTGTAATACAGTTGTGTATTTAGTGCCATATATAATACATAAAGTGTGACTTTTATCCACTTTTATACTTTTTGACACAGTCAAACTTCACGGTTATTTTTAACCGAAGTTTGTCGGAAATTTAATCGAATTTATGAAAATGAGTAAAAATATGATTAATAGTTAAGTATCTGCTCGAAAAAGCCACCCTTCTCAAAAATTATATATCTTATTCTCCTAATAACATTATTTATGGCCGGTAGGTCCAAGATGATGAATATTAACCAAGATTTTATTGATGTAGCAGAAGTTTTGATTAATGTTCTAGACAGCACAGTTGTTCTTTGCATTTATTGACTGAGAATTCTGGCAAGAAACTCGATGAAATTTTTTAATTGGCAGCTTTGTGAAGCTAATGAGTGCTTTAAGATCTTAAAAGAACAGGTGAGCGCATATGGCATATATGCAGTAATAAGATTTCCTGGTGTCCAAGGTAGGGGCAATCTGTTGCAACATTGGTGCAATCTTGGTCACTTGCTCATCACACTAACATTAACCATGCAAGTTGTAAGTTCTTTGACTGGAAAAGCAAATCAAATCTTGCGCTTTGAGAACGTTTAGCAAGTTTTTTCTAAAGGCAAAATTGACACTCTCCTACATTTCCTACATTTCGTCTAGAAGCAATTTAGCAACGTTTTCGTGGGAAATTAGTTCCAATTCGAGTACTAGTAACCGCTAGCAGCGTCATAGCGACACGAAACTGTCGCGTGACGCCGTGACATTACGATCTACCCATAGATCTAATCCACAAGCATGCTTACGTCATTCCCATAACCCATTTAAAACACTTTTTGGTCAGTAATTCAAAGATCCAGCGTTGTGGTTTTGTGACTTGTGGACTGTGGGGTCCGGACTCTAGGGCACCGCCCTATTAAACAGGACTCTAGGGCGTGGAGACGTGAATTAAAGAGGACTCTATCAGTATAGGGCGGCAACAAAACTTCTCATAACGGGCCTTATAAGCAGGGACATTCAACACCCGACGAATCCGGACCTCCGTTTGTAGCATTAAGGTGCGTAGCTGACTTGCTTGGGCCTTATGGTTATTGAATAAGATTGGTAGAATTAAAAACAACTCTGTAATTTGTTTCTACCGCCCTAGAGTCCTGTTTTCCCACGTCTCCAC